GTCGTTGGCAAGGAGATGAGAACAAGCAAGCATACGGTGTTCTTGAGCTATTCACTTCTACCTTTTTGGCGGCGAAATTTGTGGAGCATAATAGCTTTTGTGTGGAATGCCTGCAATGCTTTGGCAATTTACGCTTTATAGGTTAAAATGTTCATAATTTAAAGCCGCCATAAATCAGCATTCTTTCTGAATTAGACTTGATTGCCTGATGAATGACATTTTATTGTAAGTGGCGTCGAAGGACTTTAGTTGCAAACTCAGCTTGAAATCGTTGTGGTAAACCAGTTGAAAATCAAGAACGTTCTCAATTACCTCAAGCACCAATGTAGCGCAGAACAGTTTTGGCAGAAAGAGCTCTACAAAAAGACTTGTTTTTGAGTAAGAAAAAATTCTGCAAGATTTATCATTTAATAAAATTTTGTTTTGTGAAACTCAGAGGCCGCACAGCCCTGGCTTCCAAAACTCGGAAAAAACGCCATTTTATCCCTCAGTGCAAAAGGAAAGATAAAGTCTTGTGCAGAGAAGCATCAGTATCTATAGTGGAAATTGGAATCTATGCAACTGTCGGATGAAGTTTTACTAATTTCGTGTATGGGTTGTGCCCATTTTCAGGTAATTTTAGCCTGTCCAGTTTAGCGTTTTTGAAGAAACGCAGGTCAAATATAGTACGTTCAAGCTGTCATTACAAATACGATTATCACCCTTGACCAACAGAAAGTAAAGGCCTTTGTTTTTCGTTGAAACGCAGTAGCTTAACTTGGTACATATATGCTCAAAAGACTGCGTAGTACATCGCATAAGTGCAGCGTTCCTCGACTCGTGCAAGGAATGCGCTAGAAAGTAGACGAGAGTAATTAGACGGTTATAAGCCTGAAGCTAACCAGAGTGCATCTATTTCATTGAATGGCACGGACTCTGGCTATGCTTTCAAGACTCGAAGTCCATCCATATTAGACCTATGTGGCATGAGTAAGAGGTCTGCTGTCATCTAACCTCCACCTATGCGGACTACTGCCACAAATCGATGACTTCTTGTCTTAGGAGGTGGAGACTGTTAGCATCATAGGATCTCTATGCTTTACGGCATCATACTCTTGCCTTCGGTAAACAATTACGCTTCCTCTTCATTTGAATTAGGTAATTTTGAGGTGTTCTAAAAGTTTATGCTGTCTCCCTTTACCTTTCAAAATAAGCGGACTTATTAGAGTTACCTCAAGTACCAGTATACGATCCAAAAAAATTCTGTTTTTTCACAGCGCTCTTCTAGGTTTATAATGACGAGATGCATGGCCTTTTTGTATCTCCTAGGCATAAAACTTCTATTTACTTCCATAAAACCTATTATATGCCTAATCCGAGCGTTTTCTGCTGATTTGACTCAGTACATATGCACTAAGCAGTATCTACTTTTACATTCTCGTCACGGTCTGGATTTTATAGAATGCACTAGCAACTAATGAGGGTTTCGTCGGTGACGAATGTAGTCTATTTCTCGATTTATTTTTTTTGTTTTTTTTCTACAAATTAACATGGCTTTTTTGTAAATCTTGTAGTCGACAGGAAATGTTGAATTATGTGGCGTTATTGTATTTTCAATGGAGCGAACTTTGCAATTCTACAAATAAGCATTCACTGTGCTTAAATTGCTATTCAATGATTCTTTATTATATTTTCGAAGGTTACCTAACATTCAGCTTTTGTCGAAAACAACTACTTTTTTCCTTTGAAAGCTCTATCTCGCCAGCTAATTATGCCTGTAACAATAGCCTTCGGCTAGAAATGACGTGAGTTTCAATTTAGGCCTTAAGGAAAAAGCTTTTGGTGTATTTGTGTTTGACAACATGAATGTTTCCTGACGTCATCGCATGCTATACTGAACATTTGGACATCTGCACTGAAAATACAGAGTACGCTGAGGCCCAGCCCCCTTATAAATTCATTTTATGGCGCATACCGAGCCTAGTGGGGCTTCATTAGGCGCTGTTCATGCAGATTCTCTGTGTGTTTTCTGGATGCTTCTCGAATGTTAGCAAAGGAAAATCAATAAAAAAGTACTCAAATGTCTTGATTAGGAAATTTGATTCTTTGCTACATTTTATCTCCCTCTGAGGTTTGATGTTACTCTTTAGAGCACATGTACCCTATTTGTGCCCTATTTTTACCTAGTATGAACTGGAGTGCCTCGTTAGTGGATGTGAAGTACAGGGTGGCTTATCCTACTAATGATCTTATAGTTGGAAATACTGTAGTAATCAAAGTGGCAGCGGCTGATTCATAAAAGTTTTCCTTTTCGTTTATAGGTTCCTCTTTATGGGTGAGAGTCACAGAGTACAGGAAATCATAAAATTACTCTAATGCGATTCTTTTGTATCCAGAATAAATAATTTTTGCGATAATCTCCTTCAAGCCATCGGTTTTCTATTTTCATACTCCCAAGCACTTAATTTTTTTGTTAAACTTTTTCCATTGAACTAAGTATCGTCCATGTTTTCTTCTCAGGTCGATAAGATGATAGAGATTGCTAAAGCGGTCCGAAACATTTTTTTTTAGGGAGGAGGGAGAGGGGGACGATAACTTTTTGATTGCACGGTTATGCACTAGCCACCCTTTTCGAAAAAAAAATTCTTGATATGCCTCGCAAAATTTTGGCTAAAAAGGGATATGGCGGCAGCAAAGCCCCGAAAGAAAATTTTTTTTGATTTCAAACTTTTCCAGAACTAACAAATTTTTGATTATTCTAAGGACAAGTCACTTGCGCAATTTTCTATCTGACCAAAACAACTTTCAACTTTCGCAACCCATTTCCGGGGCGGGGGGGGGGGGATTGTGATCACAAATTTTTTCGCATTTTGAAAAGCTCAATAAGAACAGATAAAAAAGTTGGTTTGTTTACGATCAATCTTTATAAGCTTTCTGCATTACTATTCAAATAAGAGTATGATTTCCCATCACTTTATTCAGATCCATTCCGCGTTTTTGTTTTTGTAGCAAACGTATATTTGTGTGGTGTGTGACGATCATGCGATGTATGTGGAGGTATATCTGCGGACATAACTTTATAAAATTCTGATGCTGTTGCATAAATATATAAACGACTGGTTTGAATCAGAAGATTTCACTCGTATGGGAATAAATTATTATCTCACAATAAAACCCATTTTCATGTGAAATTCATAGGGTAATTCAATCACATCTTCATATATTTTAGGAGACATTGCTCTCCAAGTGGGTTGGAATTTTGACCAGTGTCGAAGATAAATTTTATCTTTGAAAAATTGGTAAATTTTAAAAAATCAAATCTTTATATATATAAAGCAGAAAATCTGTGAGTTTGTGAGTTTGTGCACATTCGGGTGCAGGGAGTGCAGGGTGTGCAGGGTGGGGAGGGGGTAAGTGAACATGCTTATTCGAATACATTATTGACAGGACCGGGCGGAGCCGGGTTTGCCAGCTCGTAATTTTTTGTACTCAGGAGGATCGACTATTTTTTTTTTCATCTCAAGTTCATGCATTCATCTGTTGATAATCTACACTCCGCCTCCCAACTCGCTTGGGTGGCTGCTTGCCAGGAACGTGCTGTAGCCAAATGAACTTTTGGTTTATGCTCCTTATTACTTTCCTTTTTGCAACTTTTATGCATTTTATAGTGTGGAAGTAAGCACCAGTCCTAGGGCTTAAGTACTTTCTGAACTTTATACGTTTTTATATTGCAAAGTAAATCCTCGTTGACAGCATCTCAACGCATTTTGACACATTTCAACCGCCTATCTTTCTTTTTCTCATCAACTAACTAGCTGTCACAGCAATTCAACTTTGACGCTTGTCTTGCTCGCGTTTTTGTATCTCATTGACAAATCGCACAATGCTTCTTAGCCATCAGAGTTTCTAACAATAGCATATAGACCTTGACTGACTACTTAGCACGTTCTTATATAATACAATGGTGCAGAATGTCATTAGTGATTAGTTAGTGGTTGGACAAGGGCTATTGTCCTTGCGAGGCTGCAGTAGCTCGTCTTTTAATGCTATCTTCTCAATTAGTTCTGTACAGATCATCATTCATTCCAATCTTTTCAAAATTTTATTCCCAGGGTTGGGAAAATCACCAAATATACACGTAATATCGTTTGGATTAAGCTCAAAAACAAATTTTTTTGATAAAATATCAATCTTTTGAGCTATAGAAAAATATAGCGGCTTGAATGTAAGTGCCGCTTAGATGACTTGTAGAAATCTGGCAATAATTTTTTTCATAGAACAAAGCTAGTCTGAATTTGTGCAGGTGCCATCCGTATGTAGTTTCTAGTGTCTATCGCAAAATTTTTTGGGAAGGAGGCGTGACTAAATTTTTTGAAGAAAGAGGCAGTTAGACCTCCGAAAAGTTTTCAGCTTGTATTCAAATTTTTCTCGCGAGATTGTGACCCTAAAACGTTGAACAAAATATATTATGTTTGTGCAGGAGTGTCTCCAAAATTTTGCGTTTTTCGAATGTTCACAGACAAATACAGGCCGCTTGCGCGATTAACTAAAAGGTTTCTGTGGACCATTTTTTGACGGTAGGGGAGGGAGAGGTTAGCAAAATGTTGTTCATGTTTTGCTATCTATCTAGTCAAATAAAAAAAACCTTGCAGACCATTTTTTTAGAGAGAGGGAGGGTTTTGCGAGCAACAAGGGTTTTTCAATGATTTGCTCGTGTTCCGCTATCCATCTGCTAGCCAAATCAATATTCAAATTCTTAGATTTTCTGTAATACCAAGAAGTATCATAACGAGAAAATCTACATACCTTTGCGATTTGACTTTTGTAAACATTGGCCAATAAGCTGATCAGATTTCTGCATCGTTCGCCGTCATTGTCGTCAGCTAGATGTATAATTTCTACATCTGCATTGATTCTCATTTTTTGCATAAGCATATGTGCATCTGCGAGATTCAATACGCCATTAACATCGTTCCTTTTGTGCATAAAGCCTCATAAGATTTTATATCTCTCTTTTACAGAATGACCATCGACTTGGAGCTGAATCAAAAGAAAAGCTCGGTTCGACCATTTCTTCGAGCTAAGGATAATCCAAAACCGATATTTGCTTTACTGTATGGATTTCAGGCAAGAAATTTTATCTTACTCAAATTTGGAGCTATACGTGATTCAATATTGATATTTTAGCAAGTAATGGTATGCGTATCTGCACTACTTACCGTACCCTTCTTAGTGACCGATAGTTTATGTGCTGGAAATAGCAGTGGTGAGTATTTTCCCATGGTAACGAAAATTTGAGGAGGAGGAAGTTAAAGACATTGAGTCTTAAGTTCAAATTCATCTCAAAGGCAGTGTTTACGCAAATACCAGCACCATGTTCCAAATAAATCGTGACTGACAAGCTCGCATACTTTGGCCCAGACCGTAATCTTTGCGAGCGGACCAATCAGCGCCCTTGATTACTGTAGGAGATACGGTCTGGGTTGAAGTTTAGAGTTAAATGTCTCCGCCAAGATTAGGTTATATAATCTACCACTTGCACACTGGATTAGTGGGACCCCTCAAGTATCTTCCACATAAGCCCACTATTTGCATTTAGACAATCTTCAATTTGCTTCCCATGCCTTCTTTAAGCTTGTATCAGAACACTGATTTGTTTATTTCAGCTAAGCTCCTAAACGAATTGATCAGCTCGACGTTTGTTGGCAGCGGTATCTCGACGATCATCCAGACAATGTTTGGAATGCGGTGAGGCATGTTTTATAATGGATGTTTCTTCATCTGCGAATCGAGCGATTGGAAAATGATTGATGTTATGACAATTCGATAACATTGAACGAATGCACTTCAGCATTATCGCATGGACTTGCAGCTTCAAGACGGTGACCTAGCTAATCAAAGTTCTCTAGATTTTTATATGAAAAAATGATTCGGAGGATTAGCTTACAAGCCCAAGCGGCGCCTCAAAGCTTTTGCTTGGCACCGTACTTTTCTAAGCGAGCTGATCAGCGTCCTTGGTTACAGCGTTGTAGAAAGTTTAGAAGAGAATGAATCAATGACTTGCTGCTCAGGGAATGGCTAAGATGTCCCAGTTAAACTTAAATAGAATTGGGTTATGAAATTGTGCAAAAAATTGTTTATACTTATATATAAATGAAATAACTTTTGTAATTTTTTGAGAATTCAAGTTAGCCTAAGGAAATTTTTTTTGCGGGCTGGCTGCCGCCAGGGGTTATGATTCCGCAAAAATCTTGTAATATCTTAAAATTCTTCTGGAGTGCATGGTCAACGCTACCTTCACGCACTTTCATTCGAGAAATCTTTCTCTTTCCTCAAAAAGATTTGAGGACTACTTTTTCGGCTTGCGAAATGTTATGCTTGTGATTTTACACGCATATCTCATTAGAGAATACTAGTTGGCAAACCCGGCTCCGCCCGGGCCTGTCAATAATATATTTGTAATCAGCATGCTCGATTACCCCCCCCCTGTGCCAACTCCCAGCCCTGTAGCTCAAATTTTGCAAAAAAATCGATAAAATCGATATCGATCGATAACGAAAAGTAGCCTATGCTCCCTGCCCCGAAGTATAGGTGTGCCAAGTTTGGTCCAAATCGGTTCAGAAATAAAAATTTCTATTCCGCACATACGTACAGACATACATACATACAGACAGACACACACACATTCAGCTTTATATATAAGATCAGCGGCGGACCGGGGGAGGGGGAGGGGGGAAAGGGGTGGGGGCGCCCCCCCCCCCCTCCGAGAATGGGTCGCAAAATTTTTGAAACTTACTTACATGGGTTATAAAAATGTACAAATGACTTGTTTATTTTTGTAAGTAATAAAAATGTTTTTTTCAAATTATCCTTATAAAAAAATTTTACGCCCCCTTTTTTCAGATTTTAGGGGTTGAGGACCCGCAAAAATTTTGAGAAGCACCCCTATATACATGGTAGCAAACATTTTTGCCATCATTCAAAGCCTAAAGCTTGAGCATGTATGAATTTCTATATTCATAATTCAAAAGCCTTAAACATTAGCAGAACATACGTCAATCCTTATAGACATCTAAGATTTGCTAATGATGTTTCACGTTCGCTTGCAAAAATTCGCTGTATGCTCTAGTGAAGCATATCACAGCTTATCAGCTTGTCTAATATGTAAAGAATTGCAAGGTGCATTCAAAAGTCATCAGATAGCGGGAAACCGAGCGGGTCCCGAAGCCCTCTGAGATCTGGTTCACTAGTTACAGCAGAAAATAATTGCATTAAGATGTCCATGTCGCTCAAATCAGTAACTTTTTTCGATAAACAAATCACTCGATGCTAATCAACATGCGATGTTCATGATTTTATGATTTTTGCAACATACCTGCGATATTTTCAGACTGGCTTTACTTCAAGGCACAGCGTTTGCTTATGTACCATCTGTTCAAGTATTTATGGGAAAATGCTCTACCAATACGAGTGCGTACGTGCCTGAAGCAGAATATTACGGACGATTAGCTTTAGTAAGCTTTCTTTCACTTTAAAAGTTCTTGACTTATTATTCGAAGCGTAATTATAGATGCAAGGATGTCTAATGGCATCATCTTTGGTTCCAATGTTGATAGGTTTCACTGGTGTTGTTGGTGTGCTCACAAAATTTATAGGTCCGCTTACGGTAAGTGTTGGCCTGACTACTGTAATGAGCAAACTTCAGCAAATTGGTTTCTAGGTTTCCCCGCTTATGCTTCTCTTGGCATTTTCCCAAGTGGATACCATGGTTACGAAAATTAGCATGCATTGGGTGGCTATAATGTGAGTGGGTAGATCTTTGCAGGTTACGGTAACTTTTCAAAGGTTACTGTAACTAGACGACAGGCTTTTTCAGTCAAGCCATCACACTATTCATTACGATCCTTTATTTGGCCGATGTACTAGTCCCACTACCAGGCATAAAATATGGCAAGCTACACTGGTACAGAACGAACTTATTTGGGCAATATCCGGTTAGTTTTTTTCTTTAAGCCCATCTTACTGTATGTATACGGTAGGACATACATATCCTAGTTACAGTACCTCATTGCTATTGCGATCTCATGGGGTTTTTGCTTAATCCTTACATTGTTTGATCTCACGGAACGGGGTGGCCCAGCACGTGTTGACATTCCGCACAAGGTTCAAGCAATAAAAAATTCAGCCTGGATAGCGGTACCGTATCCTGGTAAGCAAGAGGACCCGCTCTCAAGGATTTTGACATTTCCTCACCAATACTTTAGGCAAGTTTGGTCCTCCGACGTTCAATGTCAGCCTGTTCATTGCCTTCCTTCTCTCCGCCATGACTTCCGTCTTTGAATCTGTTGGTGACTATCACGCAGCAGCTCGAATGTCCATGGAAAGAGCTCCACCAAGTCATGCCATCAACAGAGGCATCCTTGCGGAGGGTAAGTTGTTTGGGGACCAGTTCTCGCCATTTGACCTCGCATATTCAGGAATGGGATCATTTATTTCTGGTCTTCTTGGACCGGCAGTAGGCATGACTACCCATACCGAGAACATCGGTGTAATTGGAGTAACTCGGGTGGCATCCCGATGGACAATGGTCGTTGCTGGAGTGTTGTTGATTGTTCTAGGAGTTTGCACAAAAGTAAGAGAAGTCTGAAAATTTTCTGGAAATTTCAAGATTATTGTATTCAGATTGGTGCCATCTTGTCCACAGTTCCTGATCCGCTAGTGGGTGGAATTCTAGCGTCATCGATGGCTATGGTAGTTGGAGTAGCTGTGTCAAATTTGCAAACGGTAAATCCATTTCAGAAGATATTATAACCAAAAAGCAAAAAGCCTATCATTGTTTGGGTCTTATAGATGGCATCCTTTTTAGATTTCTTTACTACAGCAAAAAATCCCCTAGCTGAGAATTTAGCAAATGTTTTTTTTTGAAGAGAGATCTGTTGAGTGTAGACCAAAATTTACACGTCCCTTACTTAGAAATCCTGTCAGTAATCTGTTCTTTTTGTTCTTGTTCCCAATGCTTTCACATTGCTTTTCCTTCTTGTCTCTGCTTCATAATGTTCAGTCCACATCATGCTTCAACTATGTCTATCCAGGTAGATATGACTATGTCTCGAAATATGGGAATTCTTGGCTTTTCTATGCTGTTTGGAATGATTGTACCGGAATATTTTCGACGATATCCCGTCTATACTGGTAAGTTTACAATTTTTTCGGATGCGTCAGGAGATTTTTTGCTGTCATATCAACCATATTTTTCAGGTTTCCAAATGCTTGATCAAATTTTAAATATTTTGCTGCAACTACAAATGTTTATCGGAGCACTTTGTGCATGTCTGTTGGATAACACTGTAGGAGGTGTGCATAAAAGTTGAATCAAAGCTTTAATCACCCCACATGCTCAGTTTGTCTTGGATTTATTTGGATATTGCATCTTGCGCTTCACCGTTAGGGGTGATGCTTACTATATTTCTCGGCTTCATGAACGTCAAACGTCGCATAGGGCCATGATATTGTTGGCAAGGTTTTGACGCATTTTTCCTGAGTTGCTTAGGGACACGGAAGAAGCTTTGTTATATAGACGATATTTCTGGAAAGATCACATTAATGATCCAAATTTATCTACTCGTTTGCACAAACTGAAAACGTGAACTTACGCTTTTTTTAAAAAAATTCAAACATTTGAGAGTGAGTGGGTGAGAAGCGAAAATATCTACACTTTAAAAATCTAATTTTTTTAGGTGCGACACGAGAACAACGCGGTTTACGATCTCGAGGAATCATTCACGAAATTGCAATGGATGATGATACATATTGCTACCCACCATTAGTTATGAAATTTTTGAATAAGGTATAGCTCCTTATGGCCGAATAAAAATCAGTTTTGAAAACAGTTTTTCCAGATTCCCTTCATAAACTACTTACCATGTATGCCAAAAGAGAAAAAAGCAACAAATAAAGTACACGAATTCTCGTCGGATGATCTCAAAGCTGATGAGGTGCGATTATGATGCGGAGTCTGTGACTGCACAATAATCAAATACGGTTAAAAAGCCAATGAGCTTCTTTTCTCTCTATCTTTCTTCTCTTTATGAACTGTATAAATCTGTACAATACAATAAATAACCTGTGATTATATGAAAGACATATTTCATTGACTGGTTCTTGTGAATTGTGCTATTGTACTACTATACTAATTGATTAATCATTGCTTTACTTACGATCAATGAGTGTGTTATGCACTGGTATTGTTTGTTTCTTTTTCTTTATAGAAGTTTTATAGGTTCCTTATGTTGAATAAAGTTTTTTTTGGACTACCATTGACAAACACTTATTTTTTCCAAAAAGATATGCCACGCTCTGTTTACACAACCTTCACTTCTCTTGAAATTTTTTTCACGGAGTAAGGAAGTGCCGGGTCAAATTCTAGAAAGTTTTTCAGATCACGTCTCTTTTGAATGAATGAATGGAGAAGTATTTGAAAAAAAAGCCAAAATTCTGTTTAGGGATACTTTATGCGTCCTTTATCTAAATATATTCATGTTTTGAGCAATATTTGACCTTTGATTCAACTGGATTGGCGGCTTTATGATCTAACTAGCTGGCTTACCCGGCTCCGCCGTATCCGGACCAAACTTGGCACACATACACTTCGGGCCCCGGCGGGTGTCACAGTCCACTTTTCGTTATCGATCGATGTCGATTTTACCGATTTTTATCGATTTTTTTGCAGAGTTCACCTACAGGGCTAGGAGTTGGCACAGAGGGGAAGTGAGCATGGAGATTCCGAATACAATATTAGTTTCCAGAATTATCGATTACTTTTATTGATTTTATCGATTTTTTGTAAATTTTGACATGCGAGGCTGGGATTTTGCACAGGGGGTAATCGAGCATGCTGATTACGAACACAATATTAGTTTTCAGGATCGTCCATTACTTTTATCGATTTTATCGATTTTTTTTGTAAAGTTTGACCTGCGGGGCTGGGAGTTTGCACAGGGGGTAATCGAGCATGCAGATTACGAATACAATATTAGTTTTCAAGATCGTCCATTACTTTTATCGATTTTATCGATTTTTTGAAAATTTGAGCTAGGGGCTGGAATTTGGCACAGGGGTGTAATCGAGCATGCTGATCACCCCCCTTGGGGATGATCAGCATGCTCGATTACCCCCCTGTGCCAACTCCCAGCCCCCTAGCTCAAACTTTGCAAAAAAATCGATAAAATCGATAAAAGTAATCGATAATCCCGAAAACCAATAATGTATTCGGAATCCCCATGCTCGATTACCCCCCTGTGCGAACTCCCAGCCCCGTAGCTCAAACTTTGCAAAAAAATCGATAAAATCGATAAAAGTAATCGATAATCCTGAAAACCAATATTGTATTCGGAATCCCCATGCTCGATTACCCCCCTGTGCCAACTCCCAGCCCCGTAGCTCAAACTTTGCAAAAAATCGATAAAATCGATAAAAGTAATCGATAATCCTGAAAACCAATATTGTATTCGGAATCCCCATGCTCGATTACCCCCCTGTGCCAACCCCCAGCCCCGTAGGTGAACTCAGCAAAAAAATCGATAAAAATCGATAAAATCGATATCGATCGATGACGAAAAGTAGCCTATGACACCCGCCGGGGCCCGAAGTGTATGTGTGCCAAGTTTGGTCCGGATCGGTTCAGAAATGGAATTTTCTATTCGGAACATACGTACACACATACATACAGACAGACATACAGACAAACAGACATTCAGCTTTATATATAAGATTAAGACCGCTCGCACCCGCGACAGCCTGCGTCTCTGTCGCCGCATGCTCTCTAATCATTCTCTAGCCTTGACTGGGTCACGAAGCCCCGCCTTCCAGCCGCCAGTCCAGTTGAATCACAGGTACATTATGTGCTTAGCAAGAGTCATAGGTAATAGCATTGAATTCCCCCCCCCCCTCGCCCCGTACGTGGGGTCGGACTAAAACAAGCGCAGCAGCCATGAGCTAATGTTTGCACAGTCGCGTATCTGGGAGCACGAATAATAACATGGACTGAACAAAACGGATTCGAGATTTGCATTTGCAAAAATTACCAAAAACGGAAACGAAAAGAATTGGGTAAACTTTGAGCTTTTTCTTTTGATAGCGGGTTGAATAGATTGCAAGATTTCTCTTATTGTTAGAGGTTTTTAAGTATTAGTTTGTAAGTTCTGAAGGCTAGTTTGCAAAGCAATTTCTTTTGAAAGCTCAAGCTCCTATTTTACGTTACTAGCGTCATTAATGCGTGCTTTGCAAATTCGACTATATTTGAAAAAGTTCTTGTTTAAGAATCCGTTGCAGACATTCGGAATATAATTGAAAGCGGAGTGAGCACAAAGTTTCTCACTCGAAATTCTTCTTGTAGGAAGTGATTTGCTTGCTCAAGATTCTCGGCACCCAAATTTTTTTTGCTCTATTACTGAATTCTCAAAATTAAGACAATTCCGATTTTAGGCTGACATAAGCGCCAGAAGTAGTTTCGCCCAAGGAACTTCAAAGTTCAATATACTACAGATGTCCAGAGATGATTCGTCAAAGTAGAGTATTCAATCAAATCACCTTCTAAAAATTATACGTTGTAAAAAAAACAGGTGGTAATAAGCTGTTAGTCAGCGAAGTTGACCAAATCTTTCTCATCTCATAAAGAGGAAAGGTGGCAGCATAGAAGACCTAGAGGTACTTCAGCTTGGAAAGAATCCAATGAGAATCTCTTTGAAAATAGAATTTCTTTCGAGCGCAGCGGTAATTTTCCTCCATCATAACCTCTGCAAAATGGAGGTCATTTAAAAGCAACAGGGAATTTTATTTTTGATGTCACATCTTTACGACATATGCTTTATTGCTTAAATTGGCTAACTCCGCCCACTGCCACGCCCCCTTTTCATCATTCTAGTTCAAAATGATGCACACTTGATTTTCGTTCAAGTTAGACACTTAATGTTGTATGCCAGCTTTTGAAGTACATGTTTGCGTCTCTCATTGTATACTTAATCTACAATGGAAGTTACGGTATTGCAACAAAGCGAAACTTTCTCAACCAAGTGTCAATTTATCAGACTCACTCTGAACAAAACCTCAGAGAGGCGACTGAAACAAGAGCGGCGTTGTCCTCCTGCTTGTGTATCAAAGCCATTTGCTACAAAACATGATCCGACTGTTACCGATACCTCTCGCCATGCAATTACCGTATTATCCGTACGCACTCGCTCCGAACGCTGCACTCTTCCTTTGATCATACGCACCCTTTAGGATCGAGCAGACTTTCACCGACAGCTATGTACAGATCGCTTTTGCACGAACTTCTGCTGCTGCTGGCGCGCTTAAGATGGGGCTGCTCTTCGTTTGTGCGTCGTCGAGCTCGCGCGTCCCTCCATGAACTCCGCAGTCTTCGCGTCTCGAATGTTACCGACTAAACCCGGGGCGGCTACTGCCAAATATTTGCATATGAGGCTCTAGTCGTCTCTGAATGTATAACGCCGGTGGTACCTCCTGGCCAGGTTGAGTGACCGACTGCTGACGGAGGTGTTGGATGGCCGCCGACTGACTGCGCGCCCCACGCGCAACCCCCACGCTGCTCTTTTGCAGCCAGCTTCCGTTACGTTACGTTACATAATTTTTGCATTTTCTGCATTTGTTCGATTATTTCTGCCATATGGTAAATATTTGCTCATATTTTTCTTTACTCTGTAGAGGAAAAGCACAGAGATTTTGTATGATAGTTTTATCATCATGACAAACTTTTTTTATCATCACAACACTCAAGTTTCTGCATTTAAAACGCCTTTGTATAATTGTACTTCCTTTTAAGCATGATGTTCTGCAGATGGTGGATCTTGCTTTCCAATTTTTCGAACAGTTTCAATTTCAAAAAAATGAGGCGCTCTATTGCTTGGTTTGATCCCTTTTTGTTCCTTTTCTTACAGAAGCTACAGGAACAATTTATGAGGAGCCCACTAAAGATGTTGAAGTCAAAACAAATGAAAATTTTATTGAACTATCAGGTCCGAGTCAGCCGATGAAAGTTATTTTGTTTTCGGTTGTGGGAATTCTTGAATAAAACCTATACTAACCTTGACTGACTTTGCCGCGAAGCCTCAAATATTTTCTTTCTAAAAAACTTGTTTATTTATTCTGTCAAAGGAAGTATGTACATCACTTATCTCACTTATCTATACAAACAATTTTTATACAAATAGTAATCTACTTTTAGAAAATGCAGAATACATTCAATTTTACGATAAGAAATGCCTTACCCGTCTAAATTGAATCCAATTATTGAGCAATTTGTGTTTGGATTGGAACAAGCAAATTATACTTCATCTCTTTTGCTCATCCTTTATCACATTCGAGAGAGAATGATCAAGGGTTGCGACTTCTTGCTGTCACCAGCTCAAACTTTAGTTTAGCGCTATGCGAGTCTTCAAAAATAACCAAATAAAGTACATTGGCTTACTATCTGTCTGAGGTCACCACTTGCTGAATTTGGTGGCTTTTGCTGGATAATGGACCGAAATATCTAAAGAATTTGTCCTTAACTGCATTTTCATGAGTTTTTGGCCTTCAGAACTGCTATTTTGAATTATTTCAAGGTAGCAAGATTGAGCAAGGCATGCAAATACGCAACAAATTTTTTGAAAATTTTCAAATCATATAAATCACTTATTATGTGCTATTTGGTGACCATCTGGCAATAAAAATTGAGCCTCTTGCCATACCCCCCCCCCCCCCCAATCAAGACCTGCGTCCTCTTGAGTATGTCTCCGTAACACTCCGAAATATACAGTTAGCTTCTTTTTGGTACAAAATAATTACATCATCATTTTATGATTCCGCAGAAACTCTCTACACAATAGGACATGAGTATCTGTATCGAAGTATCTTTTCAAACAAACTAGATTCATAGCGTGTTCATCATTGTTGTAGGTAAAGCCAAAAATTTTTGCGCTTGCAAAAATCAAACAATAGTTCGAAGTATGTTTATAAGGCACTTCTACCTTTTTGTCAGTTGCAGTTTCTTTTCAAAGACTTTTTGAAGTCCCGCTAGTGTTTCCTCGTCTCCCCTTCTCATACCTTCCCGATCTATCTAGCCTCACATGTCTGCACTTTTCAAATGTTTTTAACGTCCATTGTTTGTCTATCTGACTGTTTTTCAACGTCTGAGCATATGGACGGTTCTGCGCTTCCAAAAACTGCTTTCTTGCTCAGCCAGATGCTAATCCACTGTCAGGAAAAAACACGAGGTTCTGTTGCTATTTTTGTATTTTCGCAATTATTGTGGAATATTGCGGGCGGAGGGGATTCCTGTCAAGAAGCATGGGAAAATTTTATCCACATAAGCTATCTAGCTCAATTTTTTGCAGAAATCAGTGCTTTTAAAAAGCCCAGCTCCATTTGTTTATGTTTTTTTCGCATCTCCATAGCTCTAATGTTTGCACCATTTTTTCTCTGCCAGGCTCAAACCAGATGCTTCCAAAACTTCTAGAAAATCTGGAATTGCTTCCAGTTCCTCTTTTTGAAACCTTTTCAAAATTTGAATTTATTGGTGCCCGATCGACCCTCACCCTCCCAAGATTCATTCACAGTTTGGTTTGCCTACTCTCTTTTCGTCTGACTAGAAGCTTCTCCTTATGGAAAACCCGTTAGCTTATGCTTATCTCCCTTTTCCAAAAATGCCAAAAATTATTATTTCTCCACTCCTACCCCCTTCTCGAATACGTTCACCTAGTGCAAAGGTGATTATCATCTGTTCAGTTGCCGTAGTAGCCGCCGTCCCAATCAAAGGATTAGGGAACAGCGGAGAGCTCGGGGTTAATCACACCTATCTAGGTCTATAGAGGTCGTTAGAGTTACTTTCAGGAAAAAGTGGGGTTGCAAGAAAAATTCTGGTACAAATTTTTAGGGTTCGAATCCTCCCAAAAAAGTGGCTGGCACCAGTTTATAGAAAAAAAAACCTGCATTTCGTCTTGAAAACGCACTAAAACAATTCACACTGACCCAATATTACTGTACTTTCTTCTCACACTAGGGCTTATACTACAGTACACCTACAGTATGATCGAGTACAGACATTTAGTACAGTCTTTACCGAGTCACTGCAATCTCCTGCCTCCACTGCTGCCAAGATCGGCTCCAAAGCAAATATTCGAGACAACAAGAGTGTATTGTAATCTCTTTGTGTACCTCAATTGACACGCAGAACCTCTCGAACTGCTCCGATTCCATAAGTGCTTAGTGTTCTGTGAATAGTCGAGATTTTTTATATACTCTATCGATTCTCGTACTCGATCCGAATATTTTTTTTCCACTTCTCTCAGTTCCTTTTCTTGCTCCATCTTCTACCCTGTCTGTGATTCAAGCACTATTTGCTTATTGTCATTTGTTTTTTGCTGTATTACCAAAATCACAATTCTTACGCAGGGAATCACATCACAGATGGCGCGACCGCCATCGTCGTTCTTATCACTGGATCATGAACCAAAAACACATGGTATGTAAATTATACAGCTTACAAATTTGTAAAAGCGAGGGTTCTTTCTTTATACCCATCTCCTTCCACCTCTGTTTTCTCTCCAGCCTCCTTATTTGCATTTTTGCATAAGTAGGTAAAAGGGAAAATATAGTTTCTTCCTTTCTACGCCATTCCTCTTTCCTCCACCTGCCCTCTTCTTTTCCCAGTTTTATGCGTTAGACGTCTCACAGCAAAATGCATGACATAATTGCAAATATGGCTGTTAGGGGTTTTGAGTTATCGGAGAGTGGGCGGAAATAGTTACAAATGCAGGTGCGCAAAAAAGAAAAATCGGTGAAAGGGGCCAGAATTAACCAAAAAGCAAAGCATACAAACCACTCCAGATTTTCTTTGCTTGAAATATTGTAAAAGGTTTGCATCTGCATAAATTTGCAACGTCACCTTTGCCAAAATGTGCTTTGCTAAATTTTAGCGTTCAATTATTATAGCAGTGCTTGAGAAAGGAGAGGAGAGGAGGGGGGGGGGAGGGGGTGGGGGAGATGAGTGTCAGCAGATTTGTTGTACGAAATTAGGCAGTTGAAAACAGCAGACTTCAGGCGTTTTTTTGATCTGGAGCAAATACGCAATCATTTGATGTACATACTTAGATTTCTTTGAACTGATGCAAATGTAGTAGCTTATTCTTACCGGGCGCGGCAGTTTCCACAGTTTCAAGCTAAACGCTGCCAAAATTTTGAAAGGGCTTAGGTAGAAAATCTCCTCTTTGTAGGTACAGAAGCAGTAAGAGATAATCAATTAGTTGAGTGCTTCTGCACACTCGGATTCTCCTGCGCCTATAATGTGAAGCTCCACTTTGAGTGCTTAAGTAAAAGAACGTTACTATTTGGTCCCAGGCCACCGTTGACGGCGTTCAAAATCATTTTTGAAACTGCTGCATGTTACAGTCCGTTAGAATTGAAATCATCTTAGTTGGCGGAGAAATTCTGCACATCCAGCAGAACCCCGTTGCTTCACCCGTCCGCGTCCCACCCCCGTTCTGGTTACGAAACTCGTCTATGATATGTCCGTTCCCCCGTTAATTAAATATGTGCCCAAGCTTGACGGTTACCTGTCGAATCGATACGGCTTGCATAATTCCTGGAGCATGTTTATCGACACCCCCTCGTCATGGCGTAGAGCCCGGCTGGCTATTCAGCTGACCTCATCCCAGCTCGCGCATCTATACACCCAGCTACCTGCAAGCTAGATGTAGAGGCATTCCGTCAGACCCTTTTTACATGGAACCCCTTTATATGGTCCCTAATAGGCCAGCAGCTATAATTCCTTATATACGTGAGGCTCTAGGGAATTTTTCTATGCTTTCTAAATCCATTGAAATTCAGGGCCGCCGCCAGCATATCGTAGTGGTACGGTAACGGAAACTGACACTTTTAGCGACTATTCAGCCTCATCAGGTACTAACTTCTATTATTAGTGAAGTGGTAATATGGAAGTCTCGTTTCAGGACTTGGCAAACGACGTGGCAGCTGGGTGAATTTAGTAGAATCCGATGAAAATCTGAACAGGCACAAAGTCAATTGCTATCCAAAAGTCAAAAAGGTTAGTGACAAGTCTTTGGCGCACTAATTACCTTGTGCACTTTATTTTCTAGCTATTTGAATATTTCAAGAATCATCTGGCTTTGACACGCTTTTAACTTTTGATAGCCTACAGTTTGACAGTTTCTGCTATACTTCTTCCATGATCCCTTAGTTCTTGCAATTTTCACACTACTCCTTCTTCCTCAAGCGGTATTAGGCTCAGAAGAAATCGTTTTTCGTTTATTCATTCTTACTTTTGACTCACGCTTGTCAATGGTATGAGAGAAGAGGTTCTTTTTATAATATCGATATCTTATGCGCATGAACAAAACTCTTGCAAATCTTTCACAGTCGCTGTCGCTTCTTTTAAATTTTTGTAAAATACGGTCTGGCATTTTTTTCATAATTCTATGGGTTGCTGTTAAGCATGGCTAGTAATCTTGCTTTTCTGACAGGCTAATAAAGAATTTCGGTCGTTTTTGCGACTCCTACAAATGCTGGAAACAAATTTTTGTTCTGTGTTCGGTATCTCTGGAAAGACAGTTTAACGAGAATCGGAATATATCTTGTCTGAGTAGAACTCATTTTCCAAAGGAAGAAATCTCCAAAGAAATGAGAATCCCCAGTTCATTCCGCGCAAAAATGAGAAAATTTGGTCTTTTCGGCCAGAAAATTCAAATGTCAGATTAATTTTTTGTTGTTATCCGCTAAATAGGAAAAACGTATTTAAAAAATAAAATGTATTTAAAAATGTAAAATGTATTTATCCAAATACCAAAATACCATTACCGCATGAAAAGGACGCTTCGGAAGTTGCAGAATTGAGCTTTTGGAATTTTAGCCCTGCTGGGACATAACTGCCCTCACAGATGCAAACCCTGAATAGTTAATATGTGTTGGAAGAAGCTTTGAACTACTTTCTTCTCAAACACAGATAAAAAGCAACAAGAGCAGCCTTTATAAAGATTTTCATTCCAAAACGAAATTATTTTTTTAGCCAGCACAATAATTAACGGTGAAAGGAACTTTTTACCATATTACTTCAGCTACATCCAAAAGCTTTGCAAATTGTTTTCGTTGATGTAATCATTTACTCCAAAATAACAGTTTGAGTTGAACCATGTTCAGTCCATTTGAGCATAAAATAGGGCAAGAGTTCAAATTTTTCATCACTTCTTTTTTTTTGATATATTTGGTCACGTACATACACAAATTTTAGACGGTAGATGCAGCTCAGCAGGTACCCTCTTCAAGAACCTCTTCACAATTGGCTTACGTATCGGATAATTATCAAATAAACATGGTAAGTGGAAGTTGTTACATAATGTCGTGCAGTGTGAACATCTTTGGCTCGAAAGAATCGAAAAAATGGAAAAAAAATATTGTTAGGTCAAATTTGCAAGCTAGAGAGAACTACCACTTGAATCTACGTCAAATTCATGTTGAAAAAAAATTTTGCTTACTTTGATTTCGATCACAGAAATATTTATTCGTTTCCCTTGTTCATCTTTGTTGCTTTCTCTATCTGATAAGATATCACATCTATCTCATTGAACTTTTTAAAACTGTATCCGAATATTGTTTTCCCATGCAATTTCAAATACAAAAAAATAAGAATAGAAAACACTAAATAAAAACACTAAAAAACCTTACAAAAAACTAGTCCTAGGATAGAAAAAGATCGTATGAAGACAGGTTTTGCTGCAACGGTAGGAACTAGGTAGTCCTCTCGCAGTTGCTTTCTACTTCATATGAAGTGCAAAGTCAATCAAGCAGAGAAATTTGTTTCATTTATTCGTGATTCATTCATTTTACACATTTTATCATTTGTCTTGCATCAATGATATTGAAGCAATAGCATGTATTTTCTCTAGCATCACTGAGTTCTAGTGAAAAAATCAAAAAAGAAATTAACTTTTTTTTACGATTCGCCATAACTTTTTAAGCCAAATTCCTAATAAATTTCGTTCTGATCTCTGCATCATTAACGTATCTGCCACCCTCACTTTTCACCATCTTTTCTCAAGTAAGTGGATAAATGGTTGGTTTTTTAACATCGAATTTGAGATGATCAACATACATATTCACTGCACGATCCACATGTTATATGATTTCTTGTAGATAACTGGCAAGGAAAGTCTCAGCTTAGGGATATTTTTCAAGAATCCGAGTAGAAACTTTCTGATAATGATGGGCGAAAAAGGTGCAATTCCTGACAAAAATGTCTCAAGAAATTTATTGTTAATCTTCCTTTTCTATCATGTTGGCTATGAATATGATAGTGTTCAGAACGGCCTTTTATTTTTGGAAATAACTCTCCCTAAAACGCTACGTTTTTTCTTGTTTGTTTGTTTATATGTGCTATACTGTAACGGGGGTGGTGCAGGAGGAACCAAAGCGCGCCGTCTGTATCCGCAGGAGATAATTAAGAGCGCGAACGCTGTGGATAATATTTTGGCAAGGATCCAGAAAAAATTGGCAAGGACATCCTTTAGGAACTAACCTTCATAGCTTTGCCTGGAGATGACTTTGAAAATTTGAAGAATTTTGAAGTTTCAAATTGCTGAGGACCGGGACTTTCATTCAAAATTCATTTTTTTTTCTTTAAGATAAAAGTTAGTTTGCCTCTCGCGTCAATGAACCAAAGCAAACAAAATGTTACAAAAACACATCTGAAGGCTTGCGTCAAGATACAATGCGTGATACAGTACGTAATTAACCTGTCTCATAACTTCAAACCTATTCTAATTTCAAAGTTTGACCTAGAGGTTTCATAGGATTTGCCATTGAAACTCTGCCCGTAATCCTTTCGAGTTGTACGGAATAGCAAAAGTTCATCACATGCAAGTTGAAATTATTTCCTGATTAGCACTTCCAACTTTCAACTTTGAAACTAGAAATTTTACTAAAAATTCACTTAAAAGTCATTCGCACAACATTGAACTTGAAATCATTTTTAGCGGTGAATTTTAAAGGCACAATTTATGGTAGAAATGGAAGTCTACTAGGAAGGCACAGTTGTTTGTCTATACTAGAAAAATGCGCATTTCAATACTGGTTCCAAATCTGTTCTTGTATCCTTGAAAGTTCATTGCAAGAAAAGTTATAAGGGTTTGTTTCTAATGGATTTTCTCGCCACATTTTCCTGGATCCTTGCCAAAATCTCCTCCACAGCGCTCGCGCTCCTAATTATCTCCTACGGCTACAGGCGGCAGGCCTTTGGTTCCTCCTGCACCGCATCCATACTGTAACAGGTCCTGAGGATGCGTCATTGTGACCTGCTACAGTATAGCTACCGTAGCCCGACAAAATGATATCGACAATCGCAGTAACGTCTAATTTGATAAGCATCTTGATCTATAGGCCATGAACACAGATTCCAGAGATCGTTCAAAATCTCACTATTTTGGACAGTACTACCCAAAAGTGGTCGTAACTTTGTAAAGTGAAGATAGCCCTGAAACGCTGGAAAAATGTCTGGCCATTAGTAAAATGAGTGAAAGTCAAAGTGACATGCTTCCTCGCTAGAGTATTTAATTCTATGTGCAGACGTATTATGTATGCGTGTATGCACGACTAACCGACATCTTGTCGTCGTCGCATCGTTGATGTTTATTTACACAGGTCTTCACGGTAGGTCCCGGAAATCTTATGTAGCGCGCACGGCTTCTTGCTGACAGCTGAAGCGTAGTAAGAGGTTGATAAGGTGGGAAGGGAAGGGAGAGGAGGGATGGTCATCTTGTGAAAATATGGTTAAAAAATCTGTAGTCTCTAATTTGGGTAAAATCAATATTCAACAGGTTACCGATGTCGTCTAGTCATTTGTAACTTAATATGTGAGCTTGCACACTACACGCGACAAGTGACGACAAACTTTCTATTAGGTCTTAGCATAAGTTTTGTTACACTCGATGGAAATAATCTTCAGAACTATTTCAAAAATCTTTCTTCTCCAGATCAAGTGGGATGTTGTAGCTTATCGATATATATACACGTCACATAAAAAAAAAACTAATTTTGAAATTGCAATTTTTTCAAATTATTTTTGGCACATTTCCAACGTGTGCTATTGAAGAGCTCAGACTTCCAAACTGCCTTCATCTTAGCACTAATGTTTCAATTCGTAAAAATCTAAGAGCATTAAAATTAAAAATGAGAGGATTTTCATAAGAAAGAGAAGAAAATGGAGGTCGAAGTGCGGTCACAAATTGCCTTTATATTAGACTTTAACCCACATATGGAAGATGAGATGATGCCAATAAATATTTCTGTGTCCATTACTCATAAGTGCCAATCTGGATTTTGGTTAGAGTAAAATAAAAAAAATGTAACGAAACTAATGTTACGACCTAACAGTAGCCTCTCGTTATTCAACTTCTAGCGTAACAGAGTGTCAAAATGTGTACTGCTAACAATTACATACAAAAATGACCCAGAAGAGGAAAGAAAACAAGAAGAAATAACTGAAAATCAGCAGGATTTTCTTACAAGACGTCAAATAGCGCGCATGGTGTGCACTATGCATATAAACTTAGACCTTGGGCATACTTCACGCGAATTCGTTAGCCACGCATTCCGGCAATTTGCCAGATTTCCATAGAACCAACATTGGCAGAATACATGTGCATAGCCTGTATAACTCTCGTAGACTAATATAATGCCCTATTTTTCTCACATTTAGAATGCGTTCGCGATGGTTGTGTACACCTGGAATAATGCCAAATCGGGTCGCGGCTGAAATCGCGTGAGGTATGCCCGAGGCCCTTACTGACACAGAAACTTGAGATTATAGCGCATTGCATAAAAACTGTACTCTTACTCTTTAAGAAGCTCTGTGATTAACATTGTTCCATTCTGACATTGTTGAAGTCCATATTTTTCTTTGAGTCAAAAATGACACGTTTTCTATTTATGAATATTTCTATTGTTCAAATTTACAAACCAGCCTTAGCAGTTCACTAATCTCTTCCTAATTTCAGATGCACTCCAACTACGCTCTACCGCTAAAAGCTGCGCCTGGGCCGGCTGGTACCGTACCACCTTCAATTATCACTTCAAGAGCTCCATCTGTGGTCGTGACACCAGCAGTCATACAACAACGTCCTAGCTCAGCCCCAATGCCAAGAAAGAAACGCAATCGCTTACAGGAGTGGCTGGATAAGTCAGTACTCAGTTGTGCTTTTTTTCCAAAAAAAAAAAGAAAAATTCTGAAATTCAGGTCCCACTGCAGCTGTAAGAAGGCTTGTTGTGCTCTTTGCTTGACATTAACGATACTGTTAGCGGTGTTCGGTGTAATTTTGGCCTTAGTGCTCACACAAGTCTTTAGAGCACCTAAAGTAAGTTCCTGAGCCGCAAGAAATAGTTTTTTTTATAATTTTTATCTAATTTAGACTGCTCAAATATCATGGATGCCACCAGAACAGTACCGTAATGGGCAAAATCAACCTGTGCGACTCAGTATGGATACCGAGGGTAACCAGGTAAGAATTGGTTCCTCCAGGTTCAGTGGATGTGTAGCCCCTCTTACAATGATTTACAAACAATGACTCATTAATTTTTATGGTAAAGATTATTCGCATTGAATAGAGCGTTCCAGGTTCGGCTGAGGTTAATGGGTGCGATGCCATTCAAAGGAAACTACATGAGCTACTACGACTTTGCCACGGTACGCGTTCAATTTTGAAGTTACTTAGATAACGTCAGCCAATCATAGTAGACCAAAGCCACGCCCACTGTAAATCAACCAATCAGAAAGTAAACAGTACATTGGACAATCTGTGGTTTACTCTGAAATGAACATATACTGTGACTAACGAGAACTTCATCTGGTTCATCAAACTAGTATATGGAGTAAGAATAAAAAACTCAAAATTGTACATTTTCAGAATCGAGTCGCAGTGATTGATGAAACTTTGAAGAGCAACGGGAAAATTCTGACATGTTTTGTGATGCCACTGGATCGATCGTTGCTACGCGATCAAGATGCGATGCGTAAGGCCGTTGGAGTCGCAGCGAGTGTAAGCCGACGATTACGAACAAGACAACGATCTAAATTGGTGACTGTTACTAGAACAGATCACATTAAGTCAAATAACTTAGGAAATTTTGCAGAAGAAGGGGATTCCAAGTATTAAAATCAATTTTTGCTGCCTTCAGAATTGCGGTCTATTTGCGCTGTCGACCACTAAAGTTTCAAAATCTTTGTCATTTTTCCTAAATAAGTGTGCGACAGAAGGGAGAGGGTGACAAATTTTTTTTGGATAAATAGGCGTGGCATTGACCGCGCCTTTCAAAATATTGCTTTCCAAATTTTCCGCGGGAATGTAACACCGAAATTTAAAAAAGAGAGCCTAAAATTCCTCTAATAAAGCTAAATTCGGTTTTTTTTCAAAAATTTCAAAAATTATTTCAAGAGTTCACAAGTAAATATGCAACTTTTTGTAACTCACAATCAGTTTCAATTCCTTTCAACCTATTCTCGGGAGGTTGGAGTCGCTTTTTGAGCAGTTTGGATCATTTTTTTCTAGTCGTGGGTCCAACTTCCCCTCCCCCCCCCCCCCCCCGACAGAATTGAGACAGAACTGATTTTTGGCTTCATCAACTGATTTGATTAGAATTGCTCATCACTTGACTTGCAGCGCAATTCGCAAACTCAAGGATGGCACGAAAGCTGGAACTACCTACCGTCCCCGATAAGCATGAATGGACAGCAGATGTTTAGCACTCCAATCAAAGAATGCGAAGGAGCTCGTTGGGTCCAACTAGAATACGCAGGAACGAATCAGAAAAGTCAGTCAGGCAAATTAGCGAAACCTTAATGGCTGATTTTCCATGATTTTAGATCGCAAATGCTCGGACTGCTTTGACTTCTGCCTACCGGATTACGGTATCGAGCGCGATCCAGTTCGTGGAGATGAGCAGCTAAACATCGTTAAGCGTGTCTGTTTCTACCTATTCGTACCAGAATGGCGAACTTATGCACAGGCCAATACAATAGAGCAGGTTTGCAAACCTAGTGGTGCTTTCAGACTGTCTGGAACACATATTGTGCATTTGCAGAATCAGCGCGATTTTGAAACGTATTACCGTAATCGCAATCATCTTACAACTGCATATGGTGGAGGTGGTAGCGATTCGAAATGGATCAACCTTCAAGGAGTGCCTCGTAAGATGCATTTTTTTATATTCTTGCAGTATACTTTAGTTTGGAAAACTTTACAGAAGCTATACGTAACGTCACCGGTAACCTAGCTGGCAACTTAGCTGGTAACCTAGCTGGTCAAGTGAGCAATGCCGCTGCTGGCGTAGTGAACACCGTGGGAGATGTGGCCCAAGGAGTGGTTCAAGGAGTTCGTGCTGGTGTCTTTGGTCAGAATATGCCCAATCAGCAAGGATACCAGAGTGGGAATGACGATAACAGATATAATTATAACATGCAGTAAGTGATTTGAAGTCTTTTACGTAGCATTGCAAAAAAGAATTTTTCCAGGCCAAATCAGAACCAAAATTCCATGAGCCCCGGCTCGTTCGGTCCTTCCTCTAACGTTAACGGCGTGATGAATATGAATGGAGTGAATGGACAGAGTGGAGGCAATGCTTACAACATGAATAATCAAGAAGGCTATAATGTTGGTGTAAGTCTTTTTCAAAAGTGCAGAAAAATTTGCATCGGATTTAGAGTTACATTCTTTTTCAAAAAAAAACGAATTTGTATTAAGCTGTGTAGACTTTGACTAAGTGATCTCGCTTGTTTCAGCCACATTTTACACAAATCAAAACATTTAAGTAGGCTATATTTTTTGATCAAGTCGCATTCGCAGGAATTCTTAGAACTTTGTTTTCGTTAAATTCTTGTTTCTCAAATTGTCAGTCATTCAGTACAAATTAAGACATTAAAGAGGCTAAATTATTCAACCAAGTTGCTTATGCAGGAATTTCACGACTTGCTCTTCAGTGTTTTGAAGAAATGTTTATTTTGCTATTGTTATTTTATCATTATTATTTTATGAATATATTGTTGTGCGTGATAAATCTCAAACTTTTAGCATTTGGAGTGTAAAGTATGTGCAAATCAGTAAAAAATTACTCAATGAATAGATCCTACTGTATAAGAATGCTATTTTTGGTACTTTTGACTAAACCCTTCACTGAGCACTGTGCTTGATGGTTGCTGCCGAACCACTCTAATCCATTTTTAGGCCTATGGGATCAATTCCCAGAATTTGTATCCGAATATGAATGGTTATTCTTCCGAAGATAGGGATGGGTAAGTGTGTGGCTCATGCCGATTTCATTTGTTGTTTTCAAGTTGTGTGCTAGTCCCAATCATTAGAGAACATCCTAATAATCAATTATTGCTTTGCATTTTGATAAAAACTTGCTTTTCAGGAATCAAAGAATTTCCCAGTCACAAGATTCTTCGAGGTCTTCCGCATATTGGATAAATTCTGGTAATCGCCAAGACACTCAACAGTACCCTAACATACGGCAGGATACAGATCGGTAAATAATTTAGCTTTGACTTTTAGTTTGCTTTTTTATGGGTGGCGGTAGGAGACGTTACCGCCAATAGGCTCCAACTCTTCGCACAACAGGTATCCACTATAACGTGCAAAGATACGTGGTTTGTGAGAGATGACCGCACGAGAAAAAGCCTATCGGCGGCATAACATGTGATACTCTGTGGGCGGGGATGAAGGGGAGGGGCACAAATTGCGATACTAATTTGTAACGTTATAATATTTCAGAGACAACAACGTGCCTTACACAAATGGAAACAGCTTTGGCATGACGGGTGGATACAGCAGTAGATCACAATATCCCGATTCTAATGGTGTAAATCCTCCATCAGGTTATGTACCCCAAGGTGAAATAAATGTGCAGGTTCGTCACCACCCCTAGCTGGATTCTGTCAACTGTGTACTGTAGCATTACGGTAATCTTTACAGGGCATCGCTGGAATGCCACCGCGAGAAAATATCGCTTCTCGACATGGTTACGTTCCTGATATCATGCCTGTGAATCAAAATAATCAAAATCAACGACAACTAGTGATGCCACATCAGGGTTGGCAATCTGGGTAATCGTCCGATGACCGAGGATCAATTTGAGCGAATATTGCCTAGACATTCTAAAATTTCACTTGTCTGCTTAATCATGACAGTTCTCAAATCGACAGTGCTAGTCCATATGAGCTTTCAAAAGTTTTTTGTCATTTGAGGCTTACTTAAAACATAAGAAAACTGCCAAGCAATCATTTCAACTCTTGATCTGTTCTATATCTACAGCTCTGATGCATTTACAATCCCTATTATATAGATAGGATTCTACCTCAAATTATTTTTCCACAGAGTTCATGCTATTTGTCATATACTCCCGTGTCCAATTCTAGCAGCAAACGATCGTCAAAAACAAAGTAACTTATGGCTCTTATTGTGATAGGTGTACAGCGAGATATAATCAATTTGTATGAATATTTATGTTATAGTTATGTTGAAATTTGGTGATAAATTTCTGTAATTCACATGTGTGCGTTATTATGTAAAGACTGCGTGACAACGGCTGGCCAACTTTGGAAGATCGTCCCTGAAAAACTTCGTAAGTTTCAGAAAGTTCAGACTTCAAAAATCTCAAAAATTCTCTTATTTTTGCATGACAGCGAAGAAAGGTGATGAAATGAAACTTGTGTCTATTGGAGTTGAGGAACAACCTACCTCCCTAACATTGTAAATCAAAAGTGTAACGTAAGCAATGCCAGCTGGTCATCTGCCAGAAAATGCTCAACCTCAGCGAAAGCTAAGCATTTCAAATTTTGAATAAATCTCTTCCTATCGGACAGTCCAAATACGTAGTTGCACTATCATATCACTCGCTTATCTGGAAGAACAGATGGTTCGCAAACATCCGGTGACCAGCACATGACCGAGTTGCGATAAGCTCAGGCCAATAAGGCAAGGCCCAAGAACTGAGGTTTGTATAAGCTTTTGAGGATAACGGTATAATACATATCTTTGGCAAATGTATTCTATGTCAAACTAAAAAAATGCTTATTCGTAACTATCTGTGAATGTCCGAAGTCATTGATCAATACATGCATAAAAACCGTTCGCACATATCGGGATATATTATACTCCTCCACTTGATTATTCAGAAGAAATTTTCCTCAAACCGTTACCTTAGACACGGCAACTGCCTTCTCGGTTTCATTTCTGCCACGGAAGTATTCACAATAAAAAAGAATTAGGCAAAAACACAATCAGACGCTACAGAAAAAATTCTGCTGCACTCCATCAAGCCAAGAAAGTTGGCGTGAATCTCATGTTGCTATGTTTTGTCAACATCTAGTATGTGTCAGCAGTGCAAGATTTCGAGTGCTACACAACTCTTAATATACCCATCGATGCAAATATGAGTGTTATTTCTATACAAATTGTTGAGTTTTTAGCTGAGAATGAGCAAAAAGCGATGACGTCTTTTGGCTATTTGCAGAGCAATATATTAGGGGTGGCGTCACCCTCCGTAGGCGTCTGAGCACTGATAAGCGTACAAATGTACCGTATAAAAAGGAATACCATGAATTGAATTCGCTCCACCATGAATTTCTCTACCGCACTTATCTTTGCTTTCATTGCCGTTGCCTTCACAAAACCTCATCACAAAGGAAGTTCCAATTCCAGCAGTGATGGTGATTTTAAGCACAAGGTGGGCTTTCTTTGATATCTTTCATCCTCACTCTTCATGATCGTAATTTCTAGCGCCACCATCATAAGCACGAGCATCATCATCATACCTTCCATCCACGTCGCTCAACTTCAACTACTATGTCAACGCCGACAGAGTATAAACAGAGTACAGAATCTCCTGTTGCTACTACATCGAATCGCATCGCTACCGAAGGTGTCACAACTACCACTTTGGCTGCTGGAATCACCACTGAATTGGAGCTTATAACCCAAGCAGAGGTGGAAGCAAGCACTAAACTTTTTCCTGCCAGCACATCGACCGCTCCAGAGGTCGTGACCAAAATTGTGACCGTGGAAGGAAGCGTTCCGGCTGGTAGCACTCAGTCAGTAGTTTAAAAAACAGATGCATCAACCGAATCTGCCGCTGAGTTCGCCTCGACTCATCGCGATTAGAACAACGACAGAAGTAGACGAACCGTAAAATTCCTTGTATATACCGCATCTGGATGCGCTTGAGTGTGTCACACCATGTTTTTAGTGTACATATCGCAATACTTAGCAAATAAATTTCATATTTCTTTCCTCAATGGAAGTTATAATCGTAGTACGCCCTCAAAAGCTAAGAACTACTTAGGTTAAGAATATCGACTGATGAAACTGCATGATGCGCCAAAGTGGGCGCATTTCTCCTGTTCGTCAAGCTGTATCCTCTTGCAAAACTCTTGTGGCGATAAATGGGTTACTGTAAATGCTTTATAATGCAGATTAGCACAAATCTACCACAAATCGCGATTGAATGCGTTTGGAAAATTATTTAATATATTGTACTTCCAATTCATATTAGGTTGTCCCTTAAGTCTTTTCATTTTTGAGTTTTCGCTGTAAAAAGTGTAGAATTTCTTATTCTAAATAGACAGGACAACATTCGATAGAGCAAAGCAAGCTCTATAAGATGGCATTTATGCTTTCCCACCAGCTACGATCCACTTTAAGTTTAGAACCAAAATCTAAAAAATTCGGATTCCCAGAAAATTGAAAATTTTCATATTTTTATAGAAATGTCCTACAGAGCTCTTACTCGCTTACGCGTATACATTCCACATCAGGCACTCGTATGTGCTCGTATGTTGCACTTTTATTAGCCAGAAATCAAGGAAACGAAAACTTCCATGCTTTTACTCAAGTGATGCTGTGCTGTTCTTACAATAAAACTTGTGTACTACAAGTCCTTAGAAGTACAAGCGCAAAATTTCAGCTTTCCACCAGCTCTAGTTCCAAAAAATACCGAATTTAGCTTTCCTCACGCGTAACTCAACATTTCGCGATAACCAGAGCTTACTTACAGAGGGTCAAAAATTGACGGTTGTATTTCTAAGTGTTTGTAGTATACAACTGTGAGTGTAAGAACCACAGCATCACCTCGGCAAAATTATAAAAAAAATTCGTTTCCTTGATTTCTGGCTAATAAAAGTGCAACGTACGAGCACATATGAGTGCCTGATGTGGAGTATATTATAGTTGTAACGAACAAAAATTTTCGCCGAATGAACGAATATCGAATAATCAATTTTTAAAATTTTTTCGAACGAATGAATATCGAACAAATTGATTTCGAAAATTTTTCGAACGAATGAATATCGAATATTTGATTTTCGAAAATTTTTCGAATGAACGAATATTATTCGACTTTCGATTTTCATTTTATTCGAATTTGAATATTCGAATATTGGCACATTCCAGAATTCGAATGAACGAATACTTGATTAACCGAACTTGGTCGAATATTCGACTGATTTCGAATAAATGTTCGAATATTATTCGAATATTTAAATGCAGTATTCGAATATTCGAATATTCGAATAACTATCTTTTAAAACTACTGAATGAATGAATATTCGAAAAACCTTTATTTAAAACTCGTCGAATGAACGAATATTCGAATAAGTCAATTTTCGAAATCGTCGAATGAACGAATTATTCGAATATAGGCCTTTCTCATTTATTCGACTATTCGAATAATCGAATAAATGGACTTTTTCAAATATTCGACTATTCGAATATTCGAATAGTCGAATATTTCGAATAAATTATTCGAACACGAATATTCGCTGCTAACTATAGAGTATATGCGTAAGCGAGTGAGAGATCTGTAGGAATTTTTGGAAGAAATTCAAAAAAAAACTTCAATTTTCTGGGCATCCGAAACTTTTTAGGTTTGAAATGAAACTCAAGGTGGATTCGAGGTGATGCAAAAGCATAAACCATCTTATAGAGCTTGCTTTGCTCTATCGAATGGTATCCTGTGGCCGTATTCATCAACGAACCCTCAAGGTTAAAATCTACCTCAGCTAGCATTTTGGCTTTTAACCCGTATTCACAACATGATCGCAATGAAATTCTCTCATGGGTTAAGTCTACCTTGAGGTAGAAATGAACCTTTAAACGCATAAACCCGTATTCATCATTCTACCTCGAGGTTGAATTTTACCTCAATCATCATTTCTCCACCAACTTTCCATTATGCGTCCAAGGTAGAATTTAACCCTAGGATAGCTAGGGTTAAAATCAACCTTGAATTTGCACATAAGAGTTGAACTCTTTATAAGGCCTCCTTCATTCTAATTTCTGAGGACCTTAATCTGACGCAACCGTTTTCAAGGACGAATATATTCTATCAATACTAGCTCAAATTTCACTTGTTTACTTACACGGAAACCTTTTTTTGTCGAAGTTACCTTTTTAGATGGGATGTATAAGTTTTGAAAAGCAGAAAACATTCCAAATCTGTCTTTTTGTTTGTGGAACGTTCCTTGACGAGGAGTTGTGAGCGTTTACTGCAGCAAGAATTCACATATAATTTAGGATGGAGTTGCTTAATCTCACTAGTCCTTAAATAAAGCAATAATTGTAAGATTTATTAGGCTGGACACTAAATTTTGCATCTAGTTTCATAAATTCAAACTTTTAGTTATGGCGCATTCAAACTTTGGCAATATGTAAAGATTAATATGTGACACAACCGCGCGCAGATTGCTCAAATTTTGACATGAAATAGAGTAAGATCTGGGCCCAATAGATATTCTCTTTACTAGCAGGCGATACAAAGTGGTAATAACATGATTTATTAGACACAGCATGTGAAGACACGGAAGAAACAGCAGAGGTTGGTGCATGATGATCTGTAGGTGAGCGTGCCGCTCTGCAGCTGGGGTTTCCGAGATCTCTCCCCTACAGTCTCATGTGTCTGTTTTACATAGGTTGGCAACTGTTATCAGATCGTTCTCAGCTATGCTGATTGTAGAAATATGTCAACATCTGCATATGCCACCGTGGAATATCGTTCCCTCTTACAATAGGAAAGTTTCAGGCATTTTTCGAAAACTAGTAAATTTTGAGAAGTTCTGGAGTTTCAAGCTAAGATGAAGCCGTTACCGCCTAGACCATGCGCAGTGATCCGGGATCGTATACGAATTATGGCTGAAAGTTGACTCATTGGCTTAGTAAGAAATTAACAAAATTTAGGGGCGTCGAGATTTGGCGGCATCACAAAGTCGACCAAGTCGCAGTACGCAAGGGCTGCTGGTGACGGCCGTCAATGACTAAAGAGTCAGAAGCTCAATTTGGCCGAGACTTGACATAATAAGGCTACTTGACCTATCAGATACGAATATCATATTCGTTGGTTATATATTTCCTTGTTCAGGGTGAGACCCTATTTTACAGTAACCTTACAAAAAAGCCTTTAATACGCAAAGTCATTATCATTTTTGTGATCAGCATGTCGTATAACACCTGTACCAAGTTTCAGCTAAATCTGTCATATTTTATATTTTTTCATTTTATCATAACTTATAATAACGGGCTAAGGGTTGTTTGCGTGTTTTTGTGTGTGTGTGTGTCTGAATATCTGTCTGTCACGAAATTCATAGCGCGAGTTCCAGCCAACGTCCTGAGCCCAAATTTTGCATAGCGCATGCTACCAGCTTAAAAGTCCACCATGCGAAAGCACAAGCGGATTTGTTAGGTGGATCCCTCAGAATTTGAGCGTCAGCCGGGTCCAATTGGCCTTTGGCCCGCATAATCGGATCCGTATCATCATATTTTGCAAAGTTGTGGATGTGCTTGGCATCTCAATGTGCAAGCCAAGGGCTTTGGTCCAAAAAAAAATCAAAAGTCTACTACTTTACAAAAACGACGCCGAAAAAGTATTGATTTTTCGATGGTCGATTTGCCAGGGTTTTACTTAAGCATTTGAGAAGATTTTTGCACAGAGATGTGGCTCAGGGTGTTATTGTCCTTATAGCAACTACTTAGCCAGAAAAAAGTTCAGAAACCTATTCAAATTTGCATTTGTTCTTCTGCGAAAAACTTCATCCTCTCAAAATTACCGTTCTCACATGGAAAAGCTTTTGGAATGAGTAGTTGTTTACAATTTATTCGTGATATTCGGCATCGTCCGGTGAGTTTCAATGCCATCTTAAGGCATGAGTGAGTAAGGCGTACAGAGTAGGACCACAGCGATCCTCTGTGAATCAGTGTAATTCGTAGCGCAAGCTGCAGCCAAGATTTCGAGCTGATTTTTTGGCTATAGCATGCCAGCAGCACCCAAGTTAATTATGTAAAGAAGTGAGCGAATCTGTTTCGGTAGGACCTTGCGAGTCAAACGGATCCACCAGGCATTTGCTAAGGCAAACGAGATCCTAATGCAAGGAGTCTGCAGTAACTGTAAGACTTTCAACTTGGACATCTTCTAAGCCCTGGAATTCAGCGCAGATACATAGCAAAAAGTTAATTTCGTGCAAAAGTGGCGTCAAAAAGAGATGACTCAATTGATTTTTGATTTTCAAAGAACTCACTGTATAGCTGGAAATATTCTAGGCTGGAAATGTAGTGTGCATCTGTTGTTGTTCTAATTAGTCAACATCGCATTGATAAAACGGATTCAAAATTACACTAACCGTTCACCAAAAAGTATCGCCACGCTAATTTTACCGGTTTCACATGGAAACCTCGCAGAATGAATGGTTGTTTACATCATATTCTTCACTATCAGAATTTTCCGGGGAAGTTCAAAGCAATTTGAGAGACGAGGCAGGGCGCTGTTTAGCTCTGAGGACAAGCATGGACACGCAGATCCGCGCACGAACGATATTCACGGGGTGCATAGAGCCAGTACTGTGGGCGTGCCACACTTTGCCTTCCCTAAGAGAAGATGTGCTCGAAAACTATAGAGTAGGACCAGTGCGAGCCTCTGCAAAGCAGAGGTGACGCACTGGTACTATATACCTAGCTTAACCCTCATTTTGAAACTAGAATATGGCAGAACAGCAGCTGCGCTTGTAGCTTACGTCACAGCCTACACAATCGCAAAATTCAAGTGCCTATGTCGAGGGAGAGGAAAGCATTAAATGAGTTGCAAAACTTAGTTTCCTACTATTTGATCATTGGAGTATCTGTTAAATAAAGTCTTTAATGATTATCCTTGCTCCATTGAAGCGCTAGAAAATATTAGGTTGTCTCATAATTAATGCACGTTTTTATTTGCTTGCTTTAACAAGGCAGCCAGACTCAACCCAACAAAGGGTAAGGGGTACTGTTCGATAGAACAAAGCAAGCTCTACAAGATGGCTCTCATATCTTTGCGCCATGCTCGATCCACGGAGAGTTCGAACTCAAAATCTAAGAATTTCCAAATGCCCAAAATCGAGAAAAATCAGATCTTCGTCCAAATAATTTCTACGGACTTCCCACTCTCTCACATCAATACTATCGATATCTGATATCCATATGTGCGATTGTCGTATTTTTTCCTTGACTAGAAAGTGAGAAAACGAAAATTTCCCTGATTTTCAAAGCAATGCTGAGCCGTTTTGCATATGTAGTTCTATACTACAAGCCTAGGTAAGCATAACTGTAGGTTTTCTGCCTATTTCGAGCGGTACTTTTCGAGAAATGTCGATTTTAGCACTGAAAATGAAACGAAAAAATCCGAATTCGTTATTTTTCGAAAACCACCGCTTGGAATGGGCTGAAAACCTACAGTTATACTTACCCAGGCTTGTAGTATAGAACTACATATGCAAAAACGGCTCAGCATTGCTTCGAGAAAATCAGAAAAATTTTCGTTTTTTTCAGTTTCTAGTCAAGGAGAAAATACGACAATCGCACATATGGATACCAGATATCGATAGTATTGATGTGAGCGAGTGCGAGGTCCGTAGAAATTATTTAGACGAAGATCTGATTTTTTTTTTCGATTTTTTGGGCATTTGGAAATCTTTAGATTTTGAGTTCGAACTCTCCGTGGATCGAGCATGGCGCAAAGATATGAGTGCCATCTTGTAGAGCTTGCTTTGCTCTATCGAATGGTACCCCTTACCCTTTGTTGGGTTGAGTCTGAGCGTTGGAGCGGAAATTGGATGTGCAATGGTTGCTTTGTTAAAGGAAGCAAATAGAAGCATGCATTAATTATGAGACAACCTAATATATTGCGACCATTTTTGTCCTACTTGCACATCCAATTTCCGCTCCAACGCTCATGCTTTGTCCAAAAATTTCGCAGCTAAGGAAAGCAGTGGCATCAGCGTTCTAAGCCCTTTAACACGGTATCAGAGACCAGCACGACGGTGGCAAATAGACACCCGTGAAACGACTTCGCCTTTGCCACTGTCGATTTTTATGATTTCCCACTTGATCTCGTCAGTTGCGTAGGTTGTTCGATTGGACAATTCCCTCCTTAAAAGGACCGGCGTCGCACTGTTCCGGATTCTAACAAAGAGGCGAGGAGGAGTTTTGCGACCAAAGTTTTACATACTAAACTATAAGGGTGAAATAGAGTTGTGTAAAAATTTTGTAAACTTATGTGAATCTTTGCGGTATTTGCGTTTCATATGATACAGCTCAGTTCTAACTCTACTTATACTCTGATGGCCATGAATTGTTTTCTTCTTCCTAATGTACACGGTGTCCCAAAAGTAAGTACTCACTCTTCGATCGTTAGTAACTCTGTTCTCAGAAAGCCTTTTGCTTAGCTGCAAGTACTATGCAGTAGTGCAGGCTTCAACTTAGGTTTTTAAAGCAAAGAGTATAGAGCAAAACACCTACGGCTCTAAATTGCTGTAAGATCGGTAGGAAGATATACAGCGCCATTTTGAAATAGGCCAGCAAAAAAAGCCTCCAAAAAACTGGAAAGTTGTGTAGCAGTGTTTCAGAAATGCCAACACAATTAGACAACTTTGCTGAAAGATTTTACGCGTCCCAATTGGTTTAGATTTTAAAGCACTGAGAAAAGGCAATTGCAGTTTACTTGGCATAAGTTATGAAAAAAAGCCTTCTGGTAAATTTGAAACTTCACATTCATGATCAGCGACTCTGCTTAGTCTTGTGATAAGGTTTTCAGCTTGCTGAGTATCCATTTTGGGCCAAAATTCATACATTAATTTCAACCATCAATGTATAAGTTTATATAAATTTGATAGGAAGTTAAGGAGGGTTTGACTTTGTTTGAAACCCTCTTTAACTTTCTATTGTAATACTACAGTAATGAAGAACAGGTGCTTCGCTCCATACCAGCAATCTAAGTTCGGGCCTGCTTTACTGGATGGCTGTTGAATCTAAATGAAAGACTTTGTGTGAGAAGAGATATTAACGATTAAAAAGTGTGTACTAACATTTGAGACAACCCTATATCAATTGCCACGTCCAATCATGTTGAAACATGATTGCTTAGTTCCTCAGAAGACTTTCCTGCCAAAACATGGTAACGTGCACCTACAGGATATACGGCATTATCAACATGGCAGTCGGAAAACCACTAGCAGTAGAAGATTTCATGCACCGCTAATACGTCATGGCATGCTTTGTATAAGCGTCAGTGAGCATTCGGCTGACTACCAGGTAGATTTTAACCTAAGGTAGATTTGTGAATAGCAAAGTTACCTTGAGGTTAAATTCTACCTTGAGACATGCTCTCAAGGTAAATTTTAACCTCAAGGTTCGTTGATGAATACGGCCACTGATGTCTATTTAGAATAAGAAGTGTATGACTTATTACAGCGAGAGCTCAAAAATGGAAAGACTTATGGGACAACTTAATATTTTCAAACTACAAAAGCATGGTCTTAAATTGACGAACGAGGGGACTTTGCATCAACCCAGTAGATTCAGAGTAACAAGAGACTTGTATGTTCGTTTAAGCTGATCCTAAAAATGTCCAAAAGCGTAATTGTTACGACTTTCCTATTTCGGATACATGCGAACACAAAAGCTATAATGCAAAATCTGTGCACATTGGGATGAAAAGCCAAAGGTTGTGGTAAGGTCATGCTTACTGTGATCAATCTGCAAAGCAGCAAATTGAATTTCGTCAATAATTCGAAGCGGTGCGGAATTAGTATGGCAAGTGCAAATCACAATTGTTTAATCTCATGATGAAGCCCGAAGTCCCTATAAATGTCTTTTTTCTGGAGCGTAATTTAGCCAAAGATGTGGTCACTCTGCTTGCTCTTTAGTGTGAGTACCCACCTAATTTACGGTATATCGAAACAGTATTGTAGATCATGATGCCTGCGTACTCTGTCCGATTGATGGACATGAAGAAAACTTCCTACGAAAAGTGGCTAACTAGGGAAGTGAATAAAAACTTCATGTTGAGACTGAAGGGGAGAAGCAATGCAACTTTCGTACGTTCAATTGTTTGAACAATTTTGCACATCAATCAAATACATCATCTTTGTCTTTCAGCGTAGAAATTCTAGCTACACGAATGTGTCTAAAATGTTGTTGAAAGAAGAGCTTAACGTAACGCACCAATATAGCAAGTTTCGATACGTTCCAAATGGAATAGCCATTGTTTCTCCACTTCCCAAGCAAGTTTTTTTTACAATACTTTTAGAGTTGATTTTTTCACAACACTGTTTTGCAGGCCCAAGGGTCCCACAAGAGCGGCACAGTATCTTGTAAAGCACTCTGGACGTGGAGTAATTAGAACTGTGAGCTATTCTATTGTTTTTTTATCTCGAAATAATTATTTGTCGAAAAAAAAAATTCGAAAAGATTGAAGAGCCCGATATAGTTTTTAATTTTCAGATCAGGAGAAACTACCCTCCTATCAAAATGGTTTATTCCGGTTGTGGCATCATCAAAGTTGAATTTCGGGCAAAAAATGGAATTTCTGCGGAAAATAGAACTCTCGTCACTTGCTATTTCACTTTGCACACAAAGCGAAAAAGCCCAAAAGAGCCGGAACACAAAAACGACGTTATGATAGACCTCTGACGTTAGATGTGCAAACGACAGAAAGTGAAGCAAAAAGACTCGGTTGCGAAAATCAGCACCATGCCTTCGCGTCAAAACGGAAAAAGGCGTTCCGGCTCTTTTGGCGCTTTTGGACTTTTTGGGTTTTTTCGGGTTTCTTTTGGTTTTTTGGGCTTTTTTCGGCTTTTTCGGGCTTTGTTAGGCTTTTTCGACGAAGTATGACGGGTCCCTCAGAGTGATAGAATTTGTCAAAATTTTGCCAATAAACGTCTTTGATCTATCACAATTCGTGTCTGTTAACACATAGAGGAGCACTTTGCATGAAAATCAATATTCCATGAAAAAAATTATCTTATATATAAAGCTGAATGTCTGTTTGTCTGTCTGTCTGTCTGTATGTCTGTATGTCTGTCTGTCTGTCTGTCTGTACGTATGTTCCGAATAGAAAATTCCATTTCTGAACCTATCCGGACCAAACTTGGCACACATACAATCGGGCCCGCCCCGGCGGGTGTCATAGGCCACTTTTCGTCATCGATCATTTTATCGATTTTTTGCAAAATTTGAGCTACGGGGCTGGGAGTTGGCACAAGGGGATAATCGAGCCATGCTGATCACCCCCGTGGGGGTGATCAGCATGCTCGATTACACTCCTCTGCCAAATTCCAGCCCCGTAGCTCAAATTTTGCAAAAAATCGATAAAATCGACATCGATCGATAACGAAAAGTGGACTGTGACATCCGCCGGGGCCCAAAATGTATGTGTGCCAAGTTCCGGATTGGTTAAGAAATGGAATTTTCTATTCGGAACATACGGCGGAGCCGGGTAAGCCAGCTAGTAACTTTTATTTTTTCGGTAATGGTATCCTCTGTTATTTTTTGGCAATGGATAAAAGCTACTCGAGAACATCAAAGAGTATGGAGACATGCAAAAAAGTATCCTGTGCCAAGAGTTTTAGCGACTAATTGAGATTTGAAATTCTTATAGGATTTGTCGTATGATTTTGGTATGATTTACGATGTTCTTCTTTTTTTTTTGTTGGACATGAGATGTTTCTTATGGCAGATTTAAGAGGAGGAATCGATCGACTTTGGCAGATGGGAACAAAGTTGCATTGCTTGTTACTTACTTGTCGCAAATGTAAAAGCACTTCCCAATTTGAAGAATTCGTAGTCTTAGGAGCATGCCTTCTTTAGCCTAGGATAGAGCGTCAAAAGTGATAATTGTCTGGATATCTGCCCACCATGAAAAGTGAAGGTAGTTTATAGAAAATCAGAGAAGAGAAGACAATACAAAACAATTAGCATAAGCGGAAGAAACTCTTGGAAATCGGATAAAAGCCGCAATAAGTTTGAGATTTTTCATTTGGCAGCATTCCAAATTGCAGGTTTTCGCTTCAAGATGAAGCAATCCACGACACGGGGAAAACAAGGAAAACGCCTTATCTCTTCTTTGTGTCTGATATGTCTCGGAAGTGGTGATTATCAGCGAGAAGATAAAAATCAATTCTGAAAGCGTAAATTTTGTTTTATCGAAATGCACGTTAAAGCCGATCTACTCCTTGATCCATAGAGAGTGGCGAAGGAAGGCGGGGCTTGGATCGCTAATCAAGCCTAAGGAGTGATTAGAGAGCAGGTCGCTATTCTACCCGTCACTCTCGATGAATCAGAGGGTAGTTTTTAATGCGTCTTTCGAACTTTGCCTCTTCTCGTAGTTTCCGATCGAAAAAAAACACCGTCGAATCTGAATGTATAAGCTTTTTATCAAATATTTCACCACAATCGAAGAAGTTAGCTCAGCGACGTTGCCTACATATGGAAAGAGAGAAAGATTTATGAAAGGAGCGCGAAAAGAACTAAAAGGGAAGGCACCTTAGGTAGGCCTTTTGATGACCGGCACACAAAATCGGAATCAGCTTGGAATGCTGACAAGGGAGGTCGAGTCAGTCGAAGTGGCCTTTCCAAATGGGTCATATACTATTCTGAAGAGCGAACGCTGATTCCGAATCTGTCTTCTTTATCTGCCGAGCGCCTCTGGACGCCGAGTTATGAGCGTTCTTTGTGTTGAAAAACTGAATGCGTAATTAGAGCAAAATTCGTCAGAATTGCTCAAATGATCCAATGTTGGTTATCAGAGCACTCCATTTCAGAGGATACCTCCTGTCCAAATCACTCATACTGCATGTTGCTCTATTTAGACGCTGAAAAGTACGTAATAGTTAATTTTACTTGAATTCTGCGTTCATTTTTCGCTTCAAAAAACATTTATAACTCGGCGTTCAAAGGCGCTCGGCAGATAACGAAGACAGATTCGGAATCAGCGTTCAACGCTCTTCAAAATAGTATGTGACCCATTTGGAAAGGCTACTTCGACTGATCCGACCTCCCTTGTGAGTCTAAATTTATTGTTTCTAGCTGCGAAGCGTCATTGAAAAGAGTTACGAGCGTTCCTAGTAAGCGCCGTTGACGCACTACTGAACCTGGGAATTTAGCTTATAAGTAAAAATCTGCTTAAAAAAGCTGCTGGAGTACTGAAATAACATCAAGTCAAGTCTTTTGGTGCTCATAGGGAGCATTATGCATGTGCACTACCTCTGAATGTTGATGCCGTAATTTCTGTAAATCGATTGGCATCCAAATTCTGCACAGGAATAAGCCCATAATTCCGTTCAAAATAACGCTTCGCAGCTAGAAACAAGATATTTGGATTCAGCGTTTCAGGCTTATTCAAATTCAGGTGTCGTTTTATAAAAGGGTAACCTAAGGTGATTTTTCCGCAAGCTGGGGAAAAACGAGAAATTTTCGAAAACAAGATTTTTCAGATTTTTCGTTCAAATCAAAAATTGAGGTTTTGCAACATTGTCAGGGTGAAAGTAGAGATCAAGAGCTATAATATGATAAACAAGCTAGAGTTGGGTAGGACAAACGAGAAGTGGGCACCAGAGCCAAATGCTCCGTGACCCGCTAGCGGAGGTAGCGCGCAACACATGGGGCGCAGATGAGCAGAGGACAAAGATCAGAGCCGACGGGACATTCGTTCCTGCTTTCAATCTGATCGTCATGGCACGAAGAGGCACTGACGACGTCGAAAGCGAAGAAAATCACTGCTCAAAGAGGTAAGCCAGCATTTTTGTGCGCTACCCTCTGCGTAAATTAAGCGCAGTTTCCCTTTTTTGTCGAACTCCAATTAGTGAGTTTTTGAGGCTCAGTTGTAGTAAAAAGATGTTTGTTGAGAAATGTTGTCCTGATTTCTATGAAATCATACAAAACATCGTTTTTAGCAAAAAGGCTATAAGACGCAAGTTTTCAATTTTGCTTTGATATTTCAAAGATGCTACTCATGAACTTCCTTCATTCACGTTCATTCCGATATAGTCATAAGCTTGAAACCCAGACTTCGCCCCTTATGGCTTCAGATTTTTTTTCTTCATTCTGGTAAAGGTATTCTTTATTGTGGGGAAGTGATGGTCGCAGAGTACAAGGCTCCATGTATCGAAGATATGGACAAAAGGAAAAGGCTTTTTGTTCATTTGCATACAAATGATACTGAGAAGATTTGTTCAGTGATGAAGTACTCGAGTGCCTGTCTTGAGTCATACAATATTCGATGTCGCTTTCTCTCTTTTTTCTGCAAAGTCGAAATTTTTGTGTTTTAATTTCCATTAATGTAGACTTTTTGAATGAACAAGGCATTGTTTGGTAATCGATATATGAAATTTTTTTTAAAAGACTGAAATTTCGTAGTGATCATTTTGATCCACTAAAAATTGCAATTTTAAATTGTCAATGTCATTTTTGGACAAATATAGATGAGAAGAAAAGATCGCAATGCAGAGATGGAGCTCTTCAAGAGCTACAATTACCCATTAACGCTCTCTGGAAAACACGCATTCCAAAAAATTAAAAACATCCTTCAAAAATACTCGTCCCAGGCCACGTCGTCACAGTGTCGCGGCTAGCAATTCATAGAACGCAAAAATTTTCTTTTAATTTCTTCTTTTGAAGGGGGAACACAAGTAATCCAAACAGCTAAGCATACTGCTATATAGAGCTCATCAGGAGCTACAGCTTGGTTACGGTTAGTTCTATTGGAATTTACTTTGCATTTTTCAGAAACCAACTCTGAAATCCTTCCTTCAAAGCAATTTTTTTCACATGAAAGTCGATTGAAAACGTCCTAACAAAGATGTTCTGATAAAATGAATGCCCTTTGCAATCTATGCACGGACGTGTAATGGTGAGTTTCTTTCCTGGAAATGGCTCTTGGCAGTGGATGTACATAATTCCGCCCGCACCTCATTACTGACTTGTACCGCTCTTTTATTTGCAAGCTTGTAGCTCATGCTCATCTAGAATAAATTTTTGAGCCTCTAAGCTTATTCGAAAGAGCGAGACTTTTCTGACGCGATAAAAAGTGCAAATGATGGGAGTGCAAGAAATTCTTTAGATACAGAGAATGGGTTAAATAAGCGCAGCTAGTGGTACACTAAATATCTTGCAACCAAGGCCAAGCAGAGCTCCTTTCGTTATTACCAGTTTGTTCCTAAAGATTCAAAACTGATAACATTCATGTGATAATTCGAGTTCAAAGTTCCAAGGCTGTCTTAGTGTCGATAAGAGCCTTCACTCCAATCACCACTGAAATGCGCTTTTTCAACCCATTTATTTTCAGGATTTTTAAAACTTACCTCTTTTGCATACTGTATTGTCGAGGACGTCTCGCTTTTCCAAATGAGCCTACCCAGACCTTCAAAGATTGACCGCTGGCCAAATTCCAAGCCTGCAAATCGTTACAAGTCAGTGGTGAGGTGCTGGTAGGGTTATGTGCACGCACTGTCGAGAGCCATTTCCGGCAAGAAAACTCACCAGCACGCGTCCGATGCCTAGAGAATGGCAAAGAACATGCACTTTATCCAAACAGGCCTTGCTAGGACATTTTCAATCGTTTTCCATGTGAAGAAATTTGCGTTGAAAGAAGGATGTGAGGGTTAATTTTTGAGAAATGCTAAATAGAATTCAAGCTTGTGTTTTTTAAGAAGTGACCATGACCAGATTGGACGCCCTAATGAGCTCTAGTTATTATGCCAACTTGTTCGGATTATTTGTGTTTCCGCTTAAAAAAAAGAGCCCAAAAGAAATTTTTTGCGTTTGAGATTGTGATGTGACCCTCAGACAGGTTTTTTTTACAAAGTTTAAATTTTTTTAGAATATATGTTTTCCAAAAGTGTTCTATACAAGCATACAGACCATTTTTTTCCACCTTCTTTTCCGTCTAAAAAGGAACGGTGAAAAAAGGAGGACTGTTTGACACAACGTCAAAATGAAAATTAACAAAACGGCCATTATTTTTGCATTAATCAGTGGCGGTCCCAGGATTTGAGAGCAGTTGAATGATTGATTACTAGTAGACTATTAGGTTGGCTAATCGGTTGTTTCCAAAATTTTTTTGAAATACTGCACATAAATATATGTATAAGTGTCGTATCTCTGAAAAGAGTGAAATCAAGGAGAATCAAATCGTCAACATTTCTTGACCATAAATTATTTTTTCCTGAAGACGAAATGGTGCAGGGAAGTTAAAAAACCAGAATTTTTCATCCAATTTTGAAAAAAAACAGGCTCCAAAAATGGTAAAAGGTAAATTTGATATTCACAAAGCATAGCCATAGGTGTGCAAATTCAATCGATCCTGACTGTTCAAAAATTGTCCTCCGCGCGCAAATGCGAGGAAATTCTCATACTTTTGGCGGCAGTAATTTACAGACAGCAGTTCACAATCACCATCGAAGGTAGCCGTATAGCCAGAGGTTGTATGTATTCAATGAAGAAATTACCTGTCTATGCACTCTCTACAGGCTGAGAATAGATTCAGAAAATCAAAAAAGTCTTTTTTGTAAGACTAGCCACATAAGGGCATAATTGCCATCTACTTTCAATGGAAGATTCGGGTATCTGATATGTGGGAGTAGGAGCTTGCAACTACCTCCACACAAAAAATCTCAGCTGGGTAACCGCTACTCCAATTGTTATAGAGCTTTGAAGTTTCATGTCAAAATAAACTTATTTATTAGACTGATGCATAATCCTGCATCAAAATAGGTACAGACCACAATAATCCGGAAAAATCCTATATCCCAAATGGGATTCGATATATCATTAGATAGAGCAAACCTAGCTCTACAAGATATTGCTTGAAGTTTTGCAGCAGCTTTGATCCAAACGAAGATTGAGGCCAAAAACGAAAAAGATCCAAGCGCCTCAAAAAACCAAGAAAAAATTGGAACTCCATGCAGAAAAATCTTCAAATTCTAACTTGCTCAAGCATTGTCATTTCGTATAAAACATCTTTCCTTGCATGCTGTATTTTTCTCTTAGCTAGAAAAATTGAGAAAACGAAGTTTTTCATGTTTTTCTAAACCTGCTGAGATGTTCTAGCACTGATATTTGTATATTATAGGACCTTAGAAGCGCGAATGTGAACTTTCAGCTTTTTACGGCAGTTGGTTTGCGAGAAATATCGAATTTTTAACAGCTATGCAAGAAAAATTCGGATAAGGAGAGCTGGATTCATCTTTCTCGTGAACTAGCAGATCTAGAAGGCTGAAAATGTAAAGTTTCACTGCTAAAGGCATGTACTATACAACTGTCAGTGCTAGAACATCTCAGCACTAATTTGGCAAAAACATGAAAAACTTGGTTTTCTCATCGTCTAGCTGGAAAAAAATGCAGCAACCGCAATAGATGTCTTACGTGGAATGTCTACGCGTGAGCAAGAAAGAAATTTTATAGGAGCTTTTTGAACGAAGTTACAATTTTGTTGTGATTGGTCTTAAGGTTTTCAAACACATGGTTTTTTCAGTTTTCGGCTCAAAACTTCGCGTAGATCAAAGCTGGTGCAGATATCTGAGCAATGTCTTGTATAGCTAGGTTTGCTCTATCTAATGATAGAGCAAACCTAGCTAATCTAGCCATATCTAATATCGAAACCTATTTAGAATATAGGATTATTCCAGATTATTGCGGTCTGTACCAATTTTGATGCGTCAGCCTAATATAAGCCAACCCAATAATACCGATTGAACAGTCAACGTGACACGCTCTACGCAACAGTATTCAATGCTACGTAATATATGAGTATGTAGCAGTGGCGATCTTAGAATAATTCCGGAATGGGGAAAGGAGCAACAAAATATTTTTGTATAATGAGCAATGGGTTGACAACGCTTCGAAATTTCTGAGCTGTAACATCGAAATTGTAAGAAAGAGCCGGCAAGGGCCATTTTTCTTATAAAGCTGATTTAAATGTTTGAAGAAATTTGTAAAATTAATTTTTTACCAGTAAAGACAAGACTGCACAATTTTGCGTTTCTGTCGGCTGATTTCAAAAATTTTGCCTCCCATTCTGGAGGAGGAGGGTAGGGGGGGGGGGGAGGGAGAGAAAAGGGCATGATCTTTTGGTTTTGATATTTCCAATTTTGACGAGATAGTTTTCTGCATTTCTCAAACTCAAGGATGGCACGAAAAATGGAATTAACTACCATCTCCTATAAGTATTATTGGGCAGCAGATGTTCAGCAAACCAATCAAAGAATGCGAAGGGGCTTGCCTGGGTCCAACTGGAGTATGCCGGAACTCCTGTTTCCAATTGGAGTATGCAGGAATCAATAGAAAGTTAGTCAGCCAGTCTGGGAACCCTGTTCGTTGATTTTCCCCATGTTTGGACCGTAAGTGCTCCGATCGCTACGAATTCTGCTTGCCGGGTCACAGAGATCCGGTGCTCGGAAGTAAGCTGCTGAACATTGTCAAATGTGTCTATATCTATTTATTTGTACCAGAATGGCGAACTTATGCACAGACTAATACGATAGAGCAGGTTTATTGAGCCAATTTAGATTCTAGTACAAATGTTGTGCAATTGCAGAATCAGCGCGTTCGAGACGTATTACTTCAACTGCAATCATCTTACAACCGCATATGGTGGAGATGGTAGTGATTCCAAGTAGATCAATCTTCAAGGGTACCCTAGTAAGATGCATTTTTCATATTTCGCATTGAACTCTAATGGAAATTTTTTAGAAGCTACACGTAACGTCACCGGTAACTTAGCTGGCAATTTATTTAATCAAGTGAGCAACGCCGCTGTTGGCGTTGTTAACACTCGTGGAGTGGCCAAAGGAGTGGTTGAAGGAGTTCGTGCTGGTGTCTTTGGTCAAAATATGCCTAACCAGAAAAGATACTATAATGGAAATGATAATTACAGATATACTTATAATATGCAGCAAGTGAAAATCTCAAGTGTGCACTGGACAAATTTTCATAAAAAACGTTTAGGCACCAATCAGAACCGACCATGACCCCGTGCTCGTTTGCCCCCCCCCCAATGTTAACGGTGTAGTGAATATGAATGGAGTGGATGGTCAGAATGGAGGCGATGCTTACAACATGAATAATCAAGAAGGCTATAATGTTGGTGTAAGTGATTTATAAATGCCAAGAAAGGTTTATCACAGGAAAGTTAGGGTAACATTGTTGGAAAAACAGTTATTTGATTGAGCTTGTGCAAGCTTTGCCTAAGTAGTCTCATTCTGTCCGGCTCCATTTTATAGTCGTCCCTCCCCCCCCCTCCCCCATTAGACACCAGGAGACGGTCGGCGCGTATCGATCGATTGTTACTAACTGGGAGAAACACAAATTAAGTTCAGATTCAACTTGCTATTTTCGGATTCTGAGTAATTGTCCTTAGTTACAATTCCTGGTGTATTGGCAAAATTCTGAAAATTTCGCTGTAGTAAACTGGGAATGTCGGCTGCCAAAACGAGCGCCATATCACATACACCCCTAGACACCTGTTGGACGCATTCGAATTTGAATTAGAGCCCTCCGGTCAGGGCCCGGCACGAGCTTGTCAAATGACAAGCTGGAAATCGTTTTCGGCAAAAAAAGCAAAGGGGAAATCGTTTTTGCGGGGTCCGGGGCGGAGCCCCGGAAAAAAATTGGTAGTGCACGTTCTCTGCTTATTTTAACATGTTATGTGCCGCAACATGCGACGACTGGAGTTCGCGCGCGTCAAACCGCGCCGTCGCTAATTGCCGCACGCGCGACGTCGCTCAAACGAGCTATTTGTAACGGCATACATGACTAGTTCTCAATGTACGCGTCACGGTATGACACCAGATTTTGTAGGCGAACGGAGAGAGGCTAGTGGAAACAAAGTATGAAAAATTATGAAAAACTTATGTGAACGGGACGAGTAATAAGCATTTTTTCCAAACATTTTGCAAAATTGGTAAATGAAGTTGTAAATTCAAATGGCTCGTTTGCAACGCGCAGATGACGATATGGTATGAAACTTGGTACGACCGTGGACACAAGCCTGTAGGAGCTAACTTAGGAGTTTCATTAAAAAATTATGTGACTGAAGGTTGTGGCAAAGGTTTTTCTGAAAATTTCCCGCTACCAAAGAAATGGAAAAATGGCTCGTTTGCAACGCAAAGGCGACGAAATCGCGCGGGATTCGGTGTGTATATGCGCAGTAGGACTAAGTAACAAAGTATGAAAAATTATGAAAAACTTATGTGAATGAAGAGTTCCCCCAACTTATTTCCAAATTAGCTTGTCATTTGACAAGCTAATGACAAGCTGAGCTTGGCAAAACTCTCAATTCACATAATTTTTCCAAAATATTTACATAAATCTACTCTACACCTAAAGATTAGTACATAGTGAAAATTTGGTTTCAAACCTCCCCCTCTCCTCCTTGCTAGAGGCGCAAATAGCCTCAAAAGCCGCGTTTCCTAAGGAGGAAAGCACGCTCCGATCGAACGGCATATCGCTGAGTCCTTTAATCGTCGCTTGGTGCGGCGTCGTTGATGTTTCTGTTTTCAAACCTGCTGATATGCCTTAATATCGTTTTACGGCAGTTTTATCTAGGAGTTAGTTCTCCATGTGTTTACCAGAGCATATGTCGCTTTAGTCAGTCATGATTTGTATGCATGACGAGTATTTTCTCAAATTTGCTCAATGCTATCTTTGATTTTTGAAAACACGTATGGATTATTCCTAGGTATTTTTGGATGGACGCACGTCGAAGCCTAGGCTGGATAGTCGTTTGAATGGCGCGGAGGGCGACAAAATTCCTCTCGTTATCGCATCTCGGAATGGGCACGTAGATGTTGTGGTATATGTGTTTTTTCTCGCACGAATTTTTCCCCTATGCACTAAATTCTACTCGCGCAGTTTTCACCGACAGTAAATCATCAGAGCAGCTCAGATTCTCTCCCTTCTTTCTTCATTATTCTTTGCAGATGGTACTTTGAAGAGCTATTCGTGTTCGTACCCGACCAGCGTTCGACCGGCTTATTCTGAAGTCATCCAGGTTTGATATATTTCGTGAACATTCCTGATCTGCTTCTGCTTGCTCTCTGTTCATCGCATTTTTATGGTTTTGCACCCCTTGAAGCTGAGCGTCAAGTCGCTTGTCATTCCTAAGATACCCGATTTAGGCACAGTCTGCTCGCCGATGTGCTCAGTTCTGTGCTATCGTCACCGCAACTTCACTCGTTTACAAGGAATTCGCAACATGAGCACAATGCCAGAGGATGCGTGCTTTGTGTGTAAGATGGGTTTTTGTTTTGATACTTCCCGCTACTTCCTTGGTATTCAGGCTACTATGCCTACGGAGCATCGGCTGGTCGAGAATGGTCTGTCAATCCTGCTATGCAGTTCAAAGACGACAGTATCAGCGATGCTGACCTAGCATTACTCAACAGGGTTTTCAAAAAAAGTGAGTTGAAGAAGAGACTTTTTTTGTTTCGATGTTGATGCTTGATTTGATCAGTGTTTCACTTCGATTCTTTTTTGTTGTTCGGTCCTTCAGGCAGACGTTGCCGCTGCCACCGCGCTGCAGCTGCTGCAATGTGAAGTAACTCTTCGTACTTCCTCTATCAAGATAAAAGATAGAAAAAATAACTCTACTCCGAATAGCACATCTTTTTTATAGATCGGGGATTTGCTAGATGATTCTGCTTATCGCAACTTTACCTGGATTGGTAGCGGTCTACAATCTACACTAAGGTATGGTTTGAGATATCTGTACACATGTCCTATTTCCAAATTCTCCTGCAGGCAAAGTTGTCCGAAAGAATCTTCAATAAAGGTCATGGTGTTTGTCTAATCGAGCGAAAGATGGGTATGCAGCTGCAAGACGCTGAGCTTTGGCTTCAATACATACTATGTTGGTATCTGGAATTTGTTACTTTGAAGGAAACGTGCTTGTATGTGCTGACTCGGAGACCGATCTGCCAATGTTAGAAGAATGCTTGTCGGTTGCTCCACATAACGTGTACAGTCGAGTAGATTCAGCGGTAAATATAGTGTGTTTGCACAGAAGGTGAAATGCGGTGAAATTTGCGCGTGAACAAGAAGCCACGCCAGTACTGCGGGTACCTTGCGCGCGCAATTGGCCGGCGTCACAGTCGAAACTATTTCTTCACGCGCAAATTTTACCGCATTTCACCTTCTGTGCAAGCACACTATATTTATCGCTAAATCTACTCGACTGTACACGATATGGGTTACGAAAGATGAGGCACCCAGGAGAAGGTGAGCGAAAATGCAAAGCTTATGTCGCCTTTGGTCATCTTTTCTTTCTTTCTTTATCCTCACCATTACCGATGGTTTTGGACATTTTGGATATGGTGACTTCATGATATATTTGTTTTGTTGTGACTTGTTCTATTGCTTGTGGTATTACTGGTAACAGCTAGATGTTTATATATGAGAGGAACTTAGCGTTACGCTTCTACAGTCAGCTCGCTCCCAGATTTTTTACACGATACTTACTAGAAAGTAGTTGCATTCTAGTTTACTTTTGGTTCCTAAACAGCTCAATTTTTGAATGGATTGGATTACGGTTTTTCTTGGCAGCACATGTGTCCTAATAAATGACCAGTGCGTCACCTCTGCTTCGCAGAGGCTTGCGCTGGTCTTACTTCATATGCCTTACTCATTCTTGACTAATGGTGGCAATGAAACTCACCGGGCAATGCCGATTATCGCGACTAAAATGTAAGCAACTACCCATTCCAAATGATATTTCATGTAAGATCGGTGATTTTGTGTGGATGAAACTTTTCGCAAAAGAACAAATACAAATTTGAATAGGTTTTAGGAATCTTTCTGGCTTGGTAACTACCATAAGGACAGTAGGCGACGTGAGCTACATCTCTGTGCAAAATTTTTCTTAAAAGCTCAGGTAAAACCATGGCAAATTGACTATTTACGCAACAATTTCTTTTTGGCGTCGTTCTCGTAAATTAGCGAACTTTTGTCCACTTTTTTGGACTAAAATCCATGGCCTGCACATTAGCATGCCAAACACATCTCCGACTTTGCAAAAAGAGGTGATACGGAAACAATTTTGCTGGCCAGAATCTAAGTGGCTCTGTTTGACGTGCAGTTTGTGAGGGATCCGCTCAACAAAATTACTCGTGCTTTTGCGTGGTAGGCTCTTATGTTGGTCGCATGCGATGTGCAAAATTTGGGCTCAGGACGTTGGCTGGAACTCGCTCTATGAATTTCGTTACAGACAGACACACAGACATACATACACACACACAAAAACACGTAAACAACCTTAGCCCGTTATTATAAGTTATGATAGTGACATTTACAGTTTGGTGAAATCGGTACCAGGGATTAAATCGCTGAGAGTGCAGATATGTTGATATCTGTGTAAGTCTCATCTCGTGCCGGTCTCTTGGTCATCACTATGTTAGTATAGCTTTGTATATTGAGCATTACGTTAATAAACAGCTGTACTTTGTAGCCACCAGTTTCCTTGGTTTTGTGTCAGCACCATCCTTGTGGGCGTGGAAGTCCTTAAGGTCCCGGACAGACTTCACGCGATCTGATCGTCGCGACTGAATCGCGACGAGACAACTGTTACAACATCATTCCAATCAACTTGCATTTTGGTTGTGATACTTTTCCAGCCCCAAATTTTTGAAGGTGAAATGAAAATGAATGAAATGTCGGCGATTGAGTCGCGACGATCAAATCGCGTGAAGTCTGTCCGGGGCCTAATGCGGGGGAAAGTACATCGTAGAATTTCCGGCTTTCACTTGCATTTGGAATTGGACAAGATTCATATTTAGTAAGCTATATTCCTTATTTTTAACCAAAGAACTATGTTTATGTTAAAATTGGGGAGAGGGGAGGGAGGTGAAGTCGACAAAGGGCAGCAACGCTTGTTGGTGAAAGCAATACAGTATCCTTATCGATAAGTTCAATGAACATATCTCAAGTCACTTCACTGATGAATCCACTGAAGTTATCGTTTACAGAGACACAATTTTTTATGACAATGGACCATCAACGAGATGGGTGTTGCTGTAATTTTATGTTTCGATTTCTGTTCATGCTCATCTCTCTTCTGCGGTTGGAACCACAAAATGCTGTGACTTTGCATTGGGGTTGAACATGCTGATCACCTTTGCCTGTCCATTCTAGTTTGATGACTCAGTGCGAAGCTACAATTGTCTACAAGCGCAAATCCCTAGCGCTACAGTATCAGCTAATATAAATAAGAACTTCAAGGTTCAGCGATTCCAACACCTTTAAATCAAGCCTTCTGCAATGTTATCGTAGCCTCACAGCAGCATAATCGTGCGTAATTTCTTTCATGTAATCAGCGTGAGTGTATAACCTTTGAATCAACTGGCTTGGCGGCTGGAAGGCGGGCTTTGTAACCTAATTAAGGTCGCTCGCGCCCGCGACGCAGTCTACGTCTCTCGCGCGCGTGCTCTCTGATCATTATTTAGCCTCAGTTAGGTTGCGAAGCCCCGCCTTTCAGCCGCAAGGCCAGTTGAATCAAAGGGTACCTTACAGCACAAATAAAGTACCCTAAAATAGGAGACGGTCAACAAGCGCGATTTGTGTATAGGTCATCATCTCAGAAGGCCAATTCAGCGTTGTGAGAGCCTCAAAATGCCGAACAAAGTGTTCTGGCTTATTAGAGTGTGCCACTCGGCACAAAGCCAAAACTGGCACTCGAGTGTTCTTGGTCCAAAAAATCAAAGCGCAAGCACTAGCTTGCTGATTTTTTGAGGAGGGAAGGTGAGTGAGTGAGAGGAGTGGAATTCAAGAGTGGATGTGGGAGTGGAGTATTTGAGGATGAGGGTGAGTGTGAAAGGTACTGAGGGTGTAGATTACTTGAGGCTGAGGATGATTGAGTGGAGCGTTAGGGGTATGTTTGTAGGATTAGCAGAGTACCTAAGAGATGAGAAGACGGGAATGTGAGGAGTATGTGTGGAACTCGAGTACTTGAGGGTGAGAGGTTTCAGAAATTGTGAGCATATGAAGTACGAATCCCCCCCCCCCCCCAGCTACCGGTGCAATTGTCATTGATATCACTCGAGATCTCTGATCTGATCTCCTTTTTCTCTTTGTTATTGCATTGTTTTTGGTGTTTTCTTCAATAAATGTTCTTCCTCGGGTAAAGTGTTCACTGCAGAATCACTGGGATCAATTTTTGGGTCAAAGGGGAATTCGTAAAAAAATTTTGGGTCAAAGGGGAATTCGTTTTCGAAAACCCCTTTTGACAAGCTCGTGCCGGGCCCTGCCTCCGGTTGCGGCAGAGCGCGGCACTTTCAGCCCTTAGTTCAGCCTCACACAGTTTCTTCTCTGTTATTCTAACGTTTCATGCTGCTTTTTTGAATGTTTACAGTCTTTTCAATTGAAATTGAAGGTTTTACTGCTTTTAAGCGATATTTTGTGCTGCTATGCTCAATCCTTCAACTCTGTTTTCAGGTCATGCTTGGAAAGGACTAGCATAAGACTGAAAACTCACCACTGAAATCTTCTTTCGGTGAATGTCTACATGTGCTACTTTAATAGACTTCATGTCAAACTTCCCATGTGCATCGTTATTTCAAGCTTACCTGAGAATAGAGCTCAAGAAAGAGCATGGAGTACGAAACATCTCTAAACTACAACAAACTCGTCGATTTGATCAGATACGCCATTGGGACGAAGAAAAATGCCAGGTAACGACGAAAAAACGCAAAGAATACTGCATGAGCTCGAAAGAACTTGAACCATGCCGCGCTCTGCCGCAACTGGGTGCTCTAGTCCAAATTCGAATTCGTCCAACAAGTATCTAGTGGAGGGAGGATAACTATACACAAATCAAAACATCTGGGAGGCTATATTTTTAGTCAACTAGCATAAAAGAATTTAAGTGCTGCGAATTGGTCGTTATCATTGGAGCGCGTTTTCATCTCAGAACAGCGTTGTGCTCCAGTTTCGTAACATGTGTTCTTTTCCTTGCATGAATCGTGGACCTTTCCCCTTATAGATGTTCGCTGCTGTCTCGGTTTTGCTCGTTATTTGTCATTCTGTAATTGTTTCATATTGTTCACTTTCCAGAGTGCTATTCTTGTGGAAAAATGTCTGGTGGAAGCGGCGTTCCTCTGTCGGATCGACTAAACGTGGAAAAAAACAAGCTGGACATCAGAGACTACTGGTATGTTAATTTGTCTTTTTGTCGAAAAAGTGGCAAGACATGACCATTTCTCGGCGCTGTTGCTCAGTCTATCGGGAGTGTTTGACCATGTTGATGGAAACATTATGCTTTGAAAACGTCATTGGGTGATAACGGGTGTACGATGAGAGGCTCAATCAGGAGTTTGTGTTCTCGGCTCACTTTCGATTTCACATCACCTGACCACCATTCTCACATGCTAGACTTGTTTCATCGTAGCTTTTGCAAAACAACGTTGTTGGAAAAAAGTAAGTTGAATGTACTCGAAACCGAATTTCGGCTTAACACTGCCGAAACTCGGTTGTAATTAAACCTCGATATTCCTGAATTTTTGTTCAAAACTTTGTCGTTGTTGTTGAAAGTTTTGTCCAAGTTTCTGACTTCATTGCATACGGTAAAGTTACGGTCACCACCAAGGATAACGTGGATGAGCAGAAAATGTAGGTATCCATGATAATGTCGAACAACCCTCCCAGACAAGAATTAGCCAAATCGTAGTTTTGAGCCTCTAGCGTCCCCATCGGAACCACCGAAGCTGATGATGCTGTGCAAAAGAGTGCGATATACGTGGTCAGCAGGTCGATGACCCCCTGGACCGAGTTTGGGCGAAATACACTCTTTGGAGTTTTTGAGACCATGGTACTGGGAACCATGGTACTGGGATCTTCAAAACTTTGTGTTTTTCTAACTTAAAAGGTTATTAGAGTATATTTCGTTCAGCGCTTTTTCTTTCTAGTTTCCCATCCACGAGTGAAGCCAGCATATTGCCGCAGTGCCGCAGTCACTTACTGTTCTGATACCTGATGACGAGCAAATGCTCGATACCGTTCCGGTTGCTATCAACGCGGAGACGCAAGTGGATATCGCGACACGATGTAAAGAACTCAAATCTCAGCGGGACGGCGTAAGTGGTGCTTTCTTCAGACGATCAACTTGCTGAGTGTGTATTTAGGTACTTGATCTTATTACAATCGAGGCGCACAAGCTAGAAAATCAAGATACCGAAGGGGCGAAGACCAAACTTGGTCAAATGTCGTTGAAGGCCAAGGAGCTACTAAGTGAATGCACTGGGTAATATTGGTTTTTCCGTTTTTACATAGCTTCTGCAAATGATGCAATTACAGATTCTCGTTTAGATAATTTCCAAGGACTACCTAAAAGAAAAGATTTGCGACATCCAGGCCGACCGAGAAATACCACCAAGCAATTGCAAAAGGGAAATTTGCAGGCCATCGAGCATTTAAAGAAGGTGAGATACCCTATCTCTTAGAAAATCATCTCAACGAAGGGCGGCCAATCTGTTATTTCAGAGAAGCACTCGAAATAGTGCTGCAAAACTTTCTCCAGCGTTCATTGTAGAGGATATCGATGAGGATTGCGTCATCATCTTTTCCACGTGCCACACTGCCATGATTTATTAGGCTCTGAGTTGTTCTTTTTTCTAGGTTAAACGTACTCATTATGTTTGTGGACATGACTTGCTACGTTATCAGTTGTTGTAGATCAGGTGTTTTACTTCATGCCATCTAACATATTCTAGGACGTGTTCTGTCTGTTTCTGACCGTTCCGTTCGTTGTTGGATTTGAATGATAGAAAAACTAAAGTAAACGCATGTTCGGTGATTCATTCAGCAATCCTATGCAGACAGGAAAATGTGGTGAAGAAACCCATCACTAGACAAGGAAGTGTCTACATGAATGACTTCGAAGGAATGAGCGACACTCTTCCACTTTATACAACACAGAAATTTATAATCTCAGATTTCGGTTTCGCAAAGGGTAGGGTCTTATATGACAAACTGCTCATAAATATCGTGTTAAATTTGCACTTTCAGACTTTTTTCCTAACCTTGAATCCTTGACATCACCTTTCGAAGTCGCATTGGATCTAAAGCATGTTTCAGTTAACTGAGCAAGATCACTATTCCAACGCATATGATATCACAATCGTAAACAGCATGTTACAGAATTCCTCATCTCTGGACGGGGACTACCATATGTATGCAGTAACACTTCAAAGGCCCTTTTCCTACTGCAGCTCGTCGTAAGCGGAATCTAGGCGAAATTCAAGTCCCGGGTCGAAAACGCGCTCCAATGATAACGGCCATTTCGCAGCATTTAAGTTCTTCTAACTAGCATTAGCAAGAATTTTTAAGACTTTATTCCTGTTTGAATTATTGTTTCTCATATTCTCAGTGTCATTTTACACAAATTGAAACGCTGAGTAGGCTAAAATATAATATTAAAACAAGTTGCATTTACAGGAATTTCTACGACTTGTTCCTTAGTGTTTTTGAGCTAATGATTATTTTATGATTATTATTCTATCATATTATTTTGAGACTTTATTCTTGTGCGTGACAAATCTCAAAATTCTAACTTTGCGAATCTAAGGTTCGTGTGAGTTGATGAAAAATTACTCAACGAATAAATCATACTGCAGAAGAATGCTGTTTTTGGAACCTTTGACTCTGCCATCAACTGCCAGTGCTCGGGTGGATGCTTGATCACTCTGATCAATGACTTTTAGACCTATGGAATCAATTCTCAAAATTTGTATCCGAATATGAATGGCTATTCTTCCGAAGATGGGGATAGGTAAGCGTGTGGTGCTCATGCCCATTTTATGTGCAGTTTCCAACCAGGGTCAAGCGTGTTGATCGTGCGATCCGGGACCCTCATTTACGACCCCCCCCCCCTTGAAGGTACCCATCCGTACGACCCCCTCTCCCCCCCCCCCCCTTCCCCCATCCTCCCACATCTATCTCCCTTACCTCCCCTGCCCACATTCCTCGTGGTAACCTGCATAAACGAATGTCAATCTCAAAAAATACCTGCGTGAAAACTTCAGTGAGGTTTCGGAAGCAGAATAGCATCTGTAGCACACATATACGCCTTCAATAATGTTTGAGATTCTACAAGTTTTTTTTTGAGTTTTCAGGCATACTTCAGACCAGCATATTCGATTTTCGTATGCGACACAAATTTTTGCACGGAGAAAAAAAAATGACATTTTTGAGCTACAAAAAATGTTTTCGACTAAGAAGCTTACTTCCTACCTCTTCCACAGTTTTTCCTGCGAAAAAAGCCGCCTTAGCACCGTCCAGAACGATGTCAAAAACGTGCATGAGCACGGTAGTTTGAAAATTCGTAACTAAAGGCAGGAAAAGACTGAGAGGCTGCAAAGCACAGCTTCTGTAGTATAGTGCCCAGGCTATCAATAGAAAAAGTTTCACTTGAAAAGAATTAAGCTCGAAAAAATTTAGATGCGACTCTCGCAAATTTATATGCGATCCTAAAAAGCAAAAACGGGGATTTTTGAGCTTAAAATTTTGTAATTTACCAGAGAAGAGATAAAACAGCCTGCAATTCTTATAAGAGAAAGTAGGAGGATGGTCTCATATTACAGCAAAATTGCAGCCAACGAGCTTCGATAGCTCCGAAGAAATTTGATGCGACCCAGATACGACCCCCTTTTCCTGATTTTTGCTACCATACATAAAATCCTAAGAAAATCCACAGTGTACAAAATAACACCAGATTTCGCACAGTAATAGCAGGGCTTATCCAAAGTACATATAAATTTTAAGGGCCGTATAAATGGCATTACAAAAAGATTTACGAATTATTGGTTGTCATCGTTGATCTAGAAGTGCGCTTTTGTCGAGTGTGTGAGACTTCAGTGAGGCTTTGGAAGCAAGATTTTTGAGCCAATTATTACATTTCGATTTTTTATCAAATCTTACATCCTTCAAAAGTGTTTTGAGCTATTGGGAATGTTTTTTTTTGAGAATTTGTAAAAAAATTTCATCCTTAGTATTCTTTTTCTAATTTTTTTCTAAATTTATTCTAAAAAACATGTACTGGTTATCTGCTTTTTGATTTCCTTTTAAGCTTACGGTTCTCAGCCAAACTACTTTCTCTTGAGACCCCCTCCCCACCTTAGTTGCCCTCTTTACGATCTCCCGTTGCGACAGTCGCATCACACCCTTGACCCTATTTCCAACTTGTGTGCTCAAAGTTCCAGCTATTAGAGAGCATTCCAATAATTGATTATTGCTTTACATTTTGATAAAAACCTGCTTTTCCAGGAATCAAAGAACTTCTCAGTCACAAGACTTTTCAAGACATCCTGCATATTTGATAAATTCTGGAAATCGGCCAGATTCTTAGCATACTAGGTTTGTGAGGGATGCCCGCGCAAGTGCCGGCATAATATCTGATAATCTTTGAGCGGGGATGGAGGGAAGGGGCACAAAATCTAATATATTAAGAATCGTTAGCTCAATTCAAAAATCTTCGAATAGCGGGAAACCACGGTGCGGTCCCGAAGCGCGCGGATGCCTAGCACCTTCAATTACTGGTCCACTAGTGCGATAATAATTTTGTAGTTTGAAACTGTTGAATAATTTCGTAACGTAATGATATTTAAGAGAGGATAGCGTTACATGAATGGAAACAGCTTTGGCATGGCAGGTGAATATATAGTAGACCACAATATCACGATTATTGGGGTAAATCCACTATCAGGTTATGTACCGCAAGAAGAAATAAACATACAGGTTCGTCACTAACTTGAGCTGCGTTATGTCGACTGTGTACTGTAGCATTACGGCATTCTTACAGGGCATCGCTGGAATGCCACCGCGAGAAGCTGTTGCTTTTCAACATGGTTAGGTTCCTGACATCATGCCTGTGAATCAAAATAATCAAAATCAACGACAACTAGTGATGCCACATCGGGGTTGGCAGTCTGTATAATGGCCCAATTTTGGTACCGAGGAGCATTTGAGCGAATGTTGCCTAGTCACCTTTCAATGTTTCACTTATCTGCTCAATCAAATCTCAAATTGACAATGCCAGTCTATATGAGCTTTCGAAAGTCTAACTGTCATTTGAGGCTTACTTATAACTTGAGAAGACTGCCAAGCAATAATTTCAGCACCTGATCTGTTCTATATCTTCAGCTCTGATGCATTTACAATCTTTTTTAAGGACAGAATCTACTTCAAATTATTTTCTTTCACACAGATTATGCTGTTTGTCATATCCTGTGTCCAACTCTAACAGCAAACGATCATCAAAAGCAAAGTAACTTATGGCTCTTACTGTGATAGGTGTACAGCGAGATATAATCATTTTGTATGAGCATTTATTTTTATAGCTATGTTGAGATTTGTTAACAAATTTTTCGTATCTTAAGCGTGTGCGCTGCCACTCTGCGCAACGACAACTGGTTAACTGTGGATGATTACCATAAAAACTTTGTAAGATTGAAGAAGCTCCAAGGAGAATCAGATAGATGCTCACATAGAGATCTTGAGACATCCTCTTCCTCCCGGATTTTGCATTCAAACGATGAACGATGATAGATTGGAAGATTCTGTATTTATTGGAGCAGTGAATGAACAGTTTACCTTCATGAAATCGTTTTAGATTCCTGCAAAAATAATGTCCATTTTTCTAAACCTATGTTCCAAACAACTTTTTTCCATCAAACTTTCTTTTACGGTATAGAATCTGCACATCACTGGAAGCCTCTTTTCATGTACTTTCTAACGGTGGTGTTATTAAGCTGGTATTCTCATCTGTGAGAATTTCACAGGCATTTTGCACATCCGCACTCAAAATCGAAATCTCATAGCTTTCAGTTTCTTGACCACAATTCAGGAGCAAATAAATGAATTCTTCTAAAAACATAGCAATTCTATTAGATGAAGATTATTTACCTACCGCGTGCTTAAGTAGATTTTTGGAGATATCTGGACTGAGAAATTGACGCTTCGAAATAGATACTCGCTGCTGGCATTCTATGGGTCAGATATTTCTCATAATTAAGGCAATCGCCAAAGCTTTGCCCGTTTCTGTAAGTATGAGATAACCACACTTTAACAATATCTGAAAAGAAACTTAGCTACTCAGTGCGCGAAGAATTCCATATTTTCATAATCTGGCACTCGAAGCTCACAACGAATAGGCCTAAAAAAGTGAGCACTTACGAATTTTTATTTTTCTTTTCAGAACTCCTTCTTTAGAGTCTTTTCTATACATACGTAAACTCATGGCCTGCGAGTACAAAATAAGCTGATTGCCAGCCCTACGAACAAAACTTGCAGGGAGTTGTAAGCTCTTAAAAATGAGGTTTTTAAAAGAAAAGCCCTCAATTTTTTGACGCATGGTTTTCTTCCCGTTTGCGATATCAGTAAGAGCAGGTGCACGCTAAATTACGAGAAGTTTGCTGTTTCTGATGATCTTGACTGCATTCTAAAATATGAAGAATGAACGAAGTTATAGCCTTCCAAAGTGAAAATTCGCAAAGACATTATTTTTGCAACAACCTAATAAAAATCAAAATATGTGAAGTTAATAGCTGGTCATCTGCTACAGAAATTACTCAAGCTCAGCAAAAGCTAAGCTTTTCACATTTTGAATAAATCTTTTCCTATTGGACAATCCTAAGTACGTATTTGCACTATCATATCACTCCCTTATCTGTAACAACACATGGTTCGCCCACATCCGGTGGGCAACACATGATCGAGTTGCGATAAGCACAGTCCAACAAAGCAAGGCCCAAGAACTGAGGCTTGTATAAGCTTATGAGGACAACTGTATAACTCATACCTTTTGGTAAGGTACTGTACTTCAAACTAAAGAGAAAAAACTTGTATGAACTATCTGAATGTCCGGAGCCAGTGATCAACACTTGCACAAAGGCCGTTCACACATATCGGGATGCCTTATACTTCTTCAACACTGATTTTTCAGAACGATTTTCTTTAAACCGTTACCTTAAACACGGCAACTGCCTTCTCGGTTTCATTGCTGCCACGGAAGTTCTAAGAGAGAGTTAGCTAAAAAAAACAAAAAAAGTTCTGCTTCATTTTTGCATCCACTGAGTGCATCAGTTGCTCTCATTAGTATGCTTTTCAACATCGGTGTTAGCAGTGCAAGACTTTGAGTGCTACACATTGCATAACTCACCACCACGCAAATGTGAGTGCTGATTTCTACACAAAGTGTTGAGTTTTCAGCTAAGAATGAGCAAAAAACGATGACGTTTGTTGGCTATTTGCAGAGCAATATATTAGGGGTGGCGTCGCCCTCCGTAGGCGTCTCGAGCACTGATAAGCGTAGAAGTGTACCGTATAAAAAGGAAGACCATGAATTGAATTCGCTCCACCATGAATTTCTCTACCGCACTTATTTTTGCTTTCGTTGTCGTCGCCTTCACAAAACCTCTGCACAGAGGAAGTTCCAGTTTCAGCAGTGAAGACGATTCCAAGCACAAAGTAGGCTTTCTTTGATATCTTATCATCCTCAATCTTCCTGATCATATTTTCTAGCGTCACCATCATAAGCACGGGCACCAACATCATACTATCCATCCACGCCGCTCAACTTCGACTACTACAACGTCCACAGTGTATGAACAACCAAGTACACAAGCTCCTATTGTGACTACATCAGATCGTATTGCTACCGAAGGTGTCCCAGTTACCACTTCGATTGCTGGAATCATCACGGAATCGGAACCTATTACTCGAGCAGAGACGGAAGCAAGCACTAAACTCTTTCCTGCTAGCACATCGATCGCTGCAGAAATCGTGACCAATGTTGTGACTGTGGAAGAAGGCGTTGTTCCGGCTGTCAGCACCCAAGCAGTAGTCTTAAGAACAGATGCATCTGTAGCCGAATTTGACGCTGGGTTCGCCTTGACAACAAAAGAAGTAAACGAACAATAAAAATCCTTGTACACCACCGCAGCTGGATTCTCTTTTTGAGTTTTTGGTCACTTTGCTCACTGTATGACATATCATGTATTTACTGTACATAATGCAATACTTTCCAAATAAATTTCTATGCCTTCTTTCGATCAAAATTATTATCGTAGTACGCTCTCAAAAGCCGAGAACTACTTAGGTTGAGAATAGCATCGACATCGATATCATTATCACGACTGATAAAACCACATGCTGAAAGCTGGTGCACTTCTCTTATCCGTCAAGCTGTAGCCTCTTGCAGATCTTGTAGCAATAATTGGGCTACTGTAAATGCTTCGTAATGTAATTAGCACAAGACTAGCACAAATCGCGATTGACCGCGTTTGGAAACCTATTTGACACATTATATTTCCAATTTTCTACATAGCCGTTAGCATGAAAATTTCAATGCTTTGTAGGCGGTTTTATGGAGGGCCATTTGTTAATGTCTTTTGCGTCTGCTATCGCCAGATCTTGATTCTATAATTCAAGATAAGATGAGAATCGGTTTGCGAACCTGGGATTTTAGCTCTCTTTGGTAGTGTTAAGGTCCGCTACGACATTACAGTTATTCTCCTCATCATAATTTATAAGCCCTTGTCTCAAAGGCAGTGTCCGGGCAAGATGGGGGTATTTTGGGATTTCAGTGCCATGCGAGAGTGGCCCCCCCCCCTCAGACACAATATCGCGCAAAAGCGATGTCATAACGCTCAACCTAAAGCAAGAAAAACGACCGAAAAATGGGGGAAGTTACGCCTTGGGGCGGGGTCCTCCGGGCTACCCGAATCCTTGCTATGCGGCAGAGTAATCCTGCCGCCACAATTAAAATGTAGGGTCCCGCAGCGACTCTGCATTTCTGCCTTGGCGGGGACCATTGAATTTCAATTTATGCGGCTTTGGAAAACGTATGTTCTCGCTGTTTTCGCGCCTTCTAATGTGGATTTTCGGATTCAGCGTTGCGGATAACAGCCGGTAAGTGCATATTCTAGAAATCGAGTTTTTGCCCAGACACTGCCTTTGAGTTGTCTGCGGCTCTTTATTCGCCCAATCTCTTTGAGTATGTTTTGCGGGAGCGTGTCTGCCATGATAGCCAAAGAAAATTCTGCGCATTACTGTGGTGCCTATCTCGCGAATTAGTATGAGATAGTTTGAAAGTTAAGAGCCAATGAAAAAATGTACTTCAATTCTGCAATTTTTGACCATGCTCAAAAAGCTTCAAGCTTGATTTTCGTGTATTTTTTGGGTTTTTCTGCCTGCACTTTTCACGAACATCAAATCTGCTCCAGATCGGAACTAATTTCAATCAGCTAGAAGGAGGAGCTCATACAACTTATGCTTATAACTGTTTCGGTCCCTGGTGCAATGCTTGAAGCTTTTTTTGCTGCTTGCGTGCTCAAAAATTGTAAAATTGAAGTAATTCCTCATTGGCTTTTAACTTTCGGACTATCTCATACTAATTCGCGAGGAAGACACCACAGTAGTGCGCAGACGTTGGCTATGTTACACCTTCTCGTTGTAATCTTAAGCATGAAAAAAGGATCATGGCAGACTCGCTCCCGCAAAACGTGCTCAAAGAGATTGGGCCAACGAAGAGTCGCAGATCAACCTAACACATTCACAACAATAGACCCACCGGTGGGTCGTACGTGTTCTGCCGTTTCGGACAATATGACCCACTGGTGAGTCGTAAGATTTCTGAAGCTCTAGCTTTGCCAGTATACGATGAAATCCTACGGGGTTCTAGCACATTATTGGGGACACCTTGGCGAAACTTACGCCAGAATGGTCTTGGTCCGAGATGCCGTAATCTAATGTTACGGTAGTTGTATCGTAGACAGAGACAAGGCACAGACTTTAGCTCGAATTTTTCGCAGAGTGGTGCTGTTTTTGAAAATTCAAGTGTACATGCACAAGCACAATAAATACAGGTGGGCACGAGACTGATGACAGCCCATCAAAAATCACCGATTGTAGTGATTTTATTGATTTTTCGCATTGTTCATCCCAGGAGGCTCAAACCTTATATATATATAGGTTTTTTAGCATTTTGATTACGAAAATGATAGTCTCGAATTCTAATACCGCCTTCTTGCATCATTTTCTTGATTCTCAAAAAATTCCAACGTACTACTACCTTAGTCCCACTGTGGGAAAGTAGTGAACAAAGTGGAGACTATAATAGCTATCAGCACCTGAAATAACCCCAAAACACAATTTTTCATAATCCATGATGTTGGGTTCGTACAGAATTACTACCGTAACCTTACCGTAAACCGCCAGTAGCCTAGTAATTTACAGTAGCCCAATTATTGCTACAAGATCTGCAAGAGGCTACAGCTTGACGGATAAGAGAAGTGCACCAGCTTTCAGCATGTGGTTTTATCAGTCGTGATAATGATATCGATGTCGATGCTATTCTCAACCTAAGTAGTTCTCGGCTTTTGAGAGCGTACTACGATAATAATTTTGATCGAAAGAAGGCATATGAAATTTATTTGGAAAGTATTGCATTATGTACAGTAAATACATGATATGTCATACAGTGAGCAAAGTGACCAAAAACTCAAAAAGAGAATCCAGCTGCGGTGGTGTACAAGGATTTTTATTGTTCTTTTACTTCTTTTGTTGTCAAGGCGAACCCAGCGTCAAATTCGGCTACAGATGCATCTGTTCTTAAGACTACTGCTTGGGTGCTGACAGCCGGAACAACGCCTTCTTCCACAGTCACAACATTGGTCACGACTTCTGCAGCGATCGATGTGCTAGCAGGAAAGAGTTTAGTGCTTGCTTCGTCTCTGCTCGAGTAATAGGTTCCGATTCCGTGGTGGTTCCAGCAATCGAAGTGGTAACTGGGACACCTTCAGTAGCAATACGATCTGATGTAATCACAACAGGAGCTTGTGTAGTTGGTTGTTCATACACTGTGGACGTTGTAGTAGTCGGATTGAGCGGCGTGGATGGATAGTATGATGATGGTGCCCGTGCTTATGATGGTGACGCTAAAAAATATGATCAGGAAGATTAAGGATGATAAGATACTAAGGGAAGCCTACTTTGTGCTTGGAATCGTCTTCACTGCTGAAATTGGAACTTCCTCTGTGCAGAGGTTTTGTGAAGGCGACGACAACGAAAGCAAAAATATGTGCGTTAGAGAAATTCATGATGGAGCGAATTCAATTCATGGTCTTCCTTTTTATACGGTACACTTCTACGCTTATCAATGCTCAGACGCCTACGGAGTGCGACGGCACCCCTAATATGTTGCTCTGCAAATAGCCAACAGACGTCATCGTTTCTTGCTCATTCTTAGCTGAAAACTCAACATTTTGTATAGAAATCAGCACAGTTGCGTCGATGAGTGTGATGAACAGAGTGCAGCACTTAAAGTCTCGCACTGCTGACACATATCAGATGTTGAGAAACATCGAATGAGGGATTCCTACGCCAGCTTATTTGGCTTGATGCAACAATGCAGCAGAATTTTTTTGTGTACAGCGTCTTATTGTGTTTGTCCAATTCTCTCTTAAAACTTCCGTGGCTGCAATGAAATCTGGAGATCAATTGTTGTATTTAAGGTAACCGTTCGAAGAGAATTTGTTCATGAAAAATCTAGTATTTGAGGAGTATAAGATGTTCCGATATGTGCGAATGGCCTTTGCGCATGTGTTTATCACTATCGCAGTACACGCAAAGATTGTTACATAAGCATCTTTTATATTAGTTCTTGTTACATCTCATTGCTGTAACTGCCAAACCTAAATCGACAGTTTGTTCAAGCTGTAGTTTTTTCCTAGGCATACCAGTCGCTCGCTCCGTCGAGCTAGCTTCCGTGAACCTGCCAAAACAGTGCTGTTAAGAGCGACGCACCTTGTTAATTCGTGTACTTTTGAGCGCGAAATCACAAAAATTATTCCAGCTGTGGTTCCCCCATACCTAGGAGTTTAGATATGGGGCTTCAAAAGTGTTGTTTGAATATCTGCTTCCATAAAAACTGAAGGTTGTTTATAAGAAATCAGAGAAGAAAAAGGATGCAAAGCAAATGGCAAAAGCAAAAAAATAACCGGAGAAAAGCTCTGCGCTTCTGAAATGTTTCATTTGGCGGCATTTCGAGTTGCAGGATTTCGCTTTAGGAATATGCAAACAACATGGGAAAACGAGGAAAAGCTGATCTTTGTGGTTGGCACAAAAACAACCACATTTTGGAAGTGGTGTTTGTTTGAGAAAAAGCTATGCAAGAAAAAAATCGCTATGCGCGAAGTTATAATTTAACTAAGTTGAAGTGCACGTCAAAGCCAATCTAGTTCTTGCGTCCCTCGAGTTTTCCCCATTCTTGTAACTTTTGTTTCTGGCAACGTTTTCAGCTTGGTTCTGCTCAAAATTTTGAGCAAAATGCCTCCAAGCGTGAAAAATATTTGTTTTAACTCTAATAGAGAGATATGCAAAAAACGCACTTCTAGGATTCATTAAATATCGCACCACAATCAAAAAAGTAAGCTATGCGACGTTGTCCATATTACAGGCATTGGCAAGGTCTTTCGAATGCATGAGAAAGCCGCTTAAAAAGAACCATACCAAAAACAAATTTGAAAACGCGGTCTTTGTCGGATTCCTCGTTTAGATGGAAAAAATTGGTTTGCGACGTTGTCAGCGTGAAAGCAGACAAAAGCTTCAATATGATAGGATGCTATAACCAGGGATGAACAAGAGGTCAGGCACAAGTCTTTCAGAAACGCCCCCCCCCCCCTGTGAAAGCCCCTAAGCGACCCTCCGCTTCATGTCCAAGTCCTCAGGGTGTTATATTTTGAAGGAGGCCAGCCTTCACTGCAGGTTTCTATTTTTGAAAGGCTGGCCCGACTTTCTGCGATTGCACAACCACACGCAACTTGACGGCAAGTTTTAGATCTGGATAGTCCTCTTTTCAGAGCTATATTTTTCACAGGAATGGAGTGTTTGGCTCCAAATTTTATATAGCAAGAAGAGGCTTTGCACTCAATACTCATATCAAAGGCGATTTTCAGTGTTGAAGGCAAGTTAAAAGGGTCAGGCGCAACCCCTCGAAAGCTCAGGC